ATAATAATTTCATTGGATCTTGGAGATGCTTAGGGAATTCATGAAAATCAATTACCAAATGAGTACAGTGCGAGATATTTGAAGTCTGTTTTGTTTTTCGTTAATAATAAAATGGACTTGTATTAAACCAACCTTTTTAGATGACTATCCTGAAGTAAAAAAAGTTTTTCGACTGTTTTCATGGACGTGTCTTAAATCGTTTTTAGATAAATAAGTTAAAATAAAACTTGATACAAGCTTGAATGTAATTAAATGTTTAAAGTTTAACTTTTAATTTTGCAAGATGATTCACTGGAAAAATAATTTTCTTACTTAATCTTAATTAGATTATTCAATCATTATTAACAATTAAACTTTCTGAATCGATAACATTTGTCTTCACGCAAGTATGATAAAAAAATTACTCAGTTTTTTGTCCTAATTTTTATTAATGTTTTATTATATGATAGATTTTTAAAACCAATTTATCTTAGAAAAAAAATATTTAATTTACACGAGTAAAACTTTTATTATTATCTGTTCGAGATTTTTGTTCTGTTTTATATACTAACCATTAAAATTTATAGTTTTTGATTTGAACTACGATTTAAAATATTTTATGACAAGGATAATATAGAATAGTTGATAATTTATCACAGTTGTAGGAATCAAACGGCGAGCAATATTATTTTCATTGAAATAATACGCACCATAAAGTTCTACGGTGGATCGATTTCAATATCCATAACATGCAAGATGCGAATACTGTTAGGGCAAATGGTAAACATTTGCTTATCGAAATCTTTGCAGCGTTTCTATTCGAAAGAACCGGACGAGTTCGACGAGAAAGAAAGTATAAGAATCACACTGAAAAATGTTTACAATGAACATAATGTTTCAACATTATGTATAGAAATACATTCAAACTGATAAAATTGATACCAATAGTGTTTCTCGAGTGTCTAGGTGTTTTTTACATATTCGTAATATGTATTTCGTTACAAAAGAAAAGTATGTTTATCACTTATCTAGTCACCCATAGTACAAGCGTTGCTTAGTCTGGGACTAGAGAACGTTGTGTAAAAATGTGACCTGAAATATTTACTTTATTATTTATTTAATTTATGTATAATTGCTAGTTATACTTCTACCAAATATATCTGAGAACAGTTAGGTTTATATCATATTTGAAAAAATTAATCAATTATCAAATTAATAAATTATCCATTATTTTCAATATACTATAAATTCGACACTAATATTCTCGCTATAATAATTTATCGTTTAGGAACTCTCCTATTTTCTATTTATGATATAAAAGTGCAATGTAAAAAAAATTAAGTTAACTAAGAGCTCGACATTTTCTCCTAGTCCATGTACGGTATCTAAGTTGGGAAAAAAAGTTTTTCACATGTTACTAACGATTAGGACACGCGGACTCAGATGCCAATGAAAAGTTTCGTTCTGAAGTATCAACATTCAAATATCCACTGAACGGCACCATCCTTTTATCAACACCAACAAATATACCTCATCAGCTTACAACCGAAACAAGCTCGAACTTCCGTAGCAATAAAGTTTAAAGTCCCATGACCCGCGGCCACAAAGGTGTCCAACAAAATCTCCGTGCACAGCAAACATAACCGCTTCGCGTCTCGTTTCAATAACTCCTTTGGACATTAAACGGAATGGTTTCATTGGCTGCACTTTACAAGCGTCCCGGGGATCATTCGGGGCAAACTGGAATTACGATCTCGAGTACACACAATTCGCTGCCGAGATAGCGGTCTCTTACTGCCTTCGTACATCATTTGAAGCGGTAATGTTTGGAATTTACAGAAGCGATTGTGGAACGAGGACATTTTTCTAATAACAAGAATTCCTGGCATTCCTGGAAGATAATTTCAGATAAGTGAAAGCAGAATCATTTCCGATTAGCGTTAAAAGCATTCAGTACACCAAAATATGTGAAGTCCGCCAATCCGCAGTGGGGCCGCGTGGTGGACTATGCCCTGATACCCTCTGTATAGAGGAGGCCTTTGCCCGGCAGTGGGAAATGTATAGGCTATTACTTTACTTTACTTTTACACGAAATAAAACCGTTTAAAAACTTTTAAGTTAAACGGTTTTATTTTATGTGCACTGAAAACAACATATTGTATTGTCATCTAAATTAAATGTGTGTACCAAATTTCATTTGTTTTAAAATTTCAAATTTGGCATGTTGCGAATGTGGCGTCACACTCTAATCAGGCCATAGTAATCGGCTTGATCATTCTCGGTTGCTATAAAATTGGGTGTGATTACGCCAACTCAGCTTTCAACCGAAACACCCCTGTCTTGAACAGATGAACTACTACCACTCGAAATATATAGGTACGGGTGTACCTTCTTCTTCGATGCCGTGATGACATTCAACAAAGTCTGGCACTATGGCTTGCACTACAAGCTGATTGATTCAACGCATCAGACAGGCTCGTGCACACCATTCGAGTCTTCCTGCCGTATCGCTCTTTTCAATACCAATAAACTAAAAACCGGCGGACTTCAAGGTTCCTGCTTCTCTCATTTGTCTTTTCGCTCTATTTGATTTTGATATATTTGATATCACTAAGAACCCGCGTACCGAACTTGCGCTTTCCGCAGTTGATATGGCCCTTTTCTGTTAACGAACAGAAAAGGGGCATATCATGTCCCAATGGGATATATGGCCCAGATATCAAGGTCAATGGGATACGTCCCATACTGACGGAATAACCATTCGCCCGACATTACAGAGTGCTAACCAAATGGTTCAATGATAGACCTGAAATCAATTCCAACTCTCTTGTGGTAAACTCGGCAAATTACCGACCCGACATAAACGAGAAAACACAAACGTCACCCATACCACGTGGTCATCAACTCTGTCAAGGAAGGGGACCAACAGGGGGCCACTTGGACCGCTATACCCAATTAGTTTGTCCTCACCTACGACCACATCAATCCCACGTGATCTGGATATCCTACGACTGCATCGCCACTTACCATCAGGTGGAATGGCAGTCAAGTGTTGGCCTGTTCTGAATTTAAGTCGTACCAGCTGTGTGTTCGATGAGGCTCCAGTAGTCTACTAATGTAAAAACATCATGAAATTTCATTTTTGTATGTAAAAATTCGACAACTAAAAAACTTTATCGTCCGCTGGGATTTAATCCGGTGACCTTAGATGGCAAATCTACATGCGACTACAAAGCCAGTTTTGTCTCTCAGAAACATTGACGAGAATGTAAATACAGAATTAAAAAGAAGACAACAAGTATTTTCACTCAGCCATAAAGAGCCTAAATACCTGCAATAAACGACGTAATTACAGACATAAAGAGCGCAGTTAAACTGAAAGACGAATCGTTATAACACAGCGTCGGGGATTCAGAGCTTTTTACCTTAAAGCATTAGGTGCAGATACTTTACAAAAAGCGCATTTTGATACCGTCATAGTGGTTAGAGTTACTTAAAAAGTATACAATCGGAAGACCCCCATCTGGAAAGAAATTCTTCTCGTTTATATTGTTAATTGAATTGAAGCTATTGTATTATTATTATTAATATCACGTATTACTTTCTTTTAAAGATATTTGATTGATTGATTGATAGGGAAAACTACATATTTACAATTTTTAAGAACGTTAGAATGTATGTATCGCTATGAGACAAATATATCACATTACTGAGTGCTTATTTTTGGTCGCTACCGTAAACGATAGACAGCGAAAGTTTATACTGTTGACGGAAAAGCCGTGTCATAGTTTAAGATTACGAGATATACCTACTTATGATGACTCAATTACGCAGTTGCTAAGCTTTTGGCTTCAGCGCAGGTGGTCGTGGGTTCGATTCCTACACGGGACAAGTATTTGTGTGACCCACAGTTAATTGTTACAGATCTGCGTGTTTGTTTCCAAGGGGGATTGACGTCACGTAGGCGGCCGGTCGCAAAAACCTAGCCAAAACCAATTACAACATGATTGTTACGTAGATATACGATAGAGGATATGTAGTGATTACAACACGTGTTGTGGCTACCCCACCTAGGTGTGGGATAGGGGTAGGAGGACGATGAGTTTATACTTATGCTATTTTTTTTATAATTTTTAACCGACTTCAGAAAAGGAGGTTTTTCAATTCGACCGTATATATTATTATTTTTTTATGTGTGTTCGCGGATAACTTGTTCGTTTATGAACCGATTTTGGTGATTCTTTTTTTGTATGAAAGGAGATATCCCAAGGCTGGTACCATAATGTGGTGAAGGAAACCCCGTATCTGATGATGGCATCCCAGAGAAATCGAGGGCAATTCTCAAATGTTGTCCTCAAGTATTTTTAGTCTCCGGTTTGAAGTCGGTTTATTTTTTGTTAAAAATTATATCAGTGCTAGTCGCTGCACTCAAGGCGACACTTAAACGTGAATTTTATTAGATGAAGCGTCGAGTAATTATTAGTACTTTTGGATTCGAACCTGCGTCTTCCCAGCGACGCCTCTAGATGCTCTAAACAACTGGGTTAATTGGCCGATATCCTCACGCCCCGAAAAGCTCAATGCTTGACATCATTAAGTGTGTGAAGGTTACAATCCCGCCGTAGCTAGAAAAACTTTTCGACAATTTGTCTACGAAAAGTTCACATTAGAAGTTGAGCTAAGAATATTTCCTTCACTGTGGCAGGGCCACGGAACACCTTCAGCGGTTGTATGTATGGGCAGGTCCGTCCGGTTAAGTACCACGACCTCACAGAAGACCGGCGTGAAGTGAAAGTGTCATACTTCTGCGTTTCGTCGGGTGAGTGAGGTAGCCGGGGCCAGCTTTATTAAAAGGTGGCAACGCATCTGCAACCCTACGGGTGTTGCAAATGCCCGTGGGCGGTGGTTATCGCTTAACATCAGGTGAAATGCCAGCTCGCTTGCCACCTTCTCTAAAAAAAATATGTATTTTATCTACACAAATAAAACTTTCATGTCACTTCACCACCGGTGTTTCTAAGGGTCACTGCTGCGAAGTGGTGAGGGAGGTGGATGGTGACGGCGCACCCGCCCACGAATGCGAGAGGGTGCCAGGAGATGGTGCCAGCTGCTCGGCCCCCGATGACCAGGTACAGATACACAAGTACATTTTCAGTAACAAAAAAAACAAAACCAACTAAAAACATCTCTACTATATATACTCTACTCTACTCACTATATATTCTATATTGTGAGTAGAGTCTATAGCCGTATTCCAAGGTCCAATGAAATTAAAAGACCACATGGAAGATGAACCGAACCGAATGCAAAAGATTTCTTAAACCGCCTCATAAATGAAAGAGGTTAGGAGGTAACAAACATAATAAAACAAATATAATAAAGTATTTATGTACTTATCACGTTAGTTATACTTCTTCATCGTAACAAAAGAAAAACAACTAAAAATAATATACCCTGTGCTCTTCGTTTATGAAAAAGATGTTAAATGCAATCGATTACGATTTTTTTCCTAACGCGCCAAAAGAAGACTCACGAATTTCGAAAAACATACAACCAATTTGAAAACTTTCTCCTTTTTTGAAGTCGGTAAAAATACTCCGTAACGTAAACATAATATACTCCGGCCACAAGGACAAAACAACGTAAGTCCTTCCTGAATAATTCAGGAAATGTTCTATAACGGACTAACCGTTGCTAAGTTTTTCTACTTACAGCATAACTTTTTTTTGCTCGTCGAAACAGACTGCGGGGAAATATGTTCCATAATGAATCACATTCCATTTGCATAACAAATTTACGATACGAAAAAGCTTAGTTACGATAACTTACGGCCTTTTGTAGCATAATGAATTGGGGTGTTTGAATTCGTGGGCTAAAAAGGCCTTAAATCAAATCTGGTAATTGTTCGTAAATCACGCGAAGCTACGTTTAAGGTTAAATTTCCGTTCTACGCATATTTTTTGCTGTTTGCTTCTGTTTGCTATAAATATTTTAATGGTTTAAAGATAAGCTGCCTTAATTTATACGACACACGAAATTTGCTTAAGAAAAACACTAATCTACGAATTTCTAAATTATTATAAAAGTTTAAACTATTAAAGTGCCTAATGTTTTAAAAATTGTAGTCCAGATCATTGGATCTGGAATTGTCCTGCAATGACAGTTAGTTCTTAGTTTTTATATCATATACCCAATTTTTATTACAGCCATTAAGTTACGACGCGCGACACTAAACCAATGCTAAAGATGGGACGGGTTTATTTTCGTAACAAAAAGGCCTAAAAATTTGAACAACCCTACGCAAAATATAATGCTTAATCAATTCAGAGATCTGGCATTAAAATAGCCAGTAATTTTCGTTGAATCTACATATTGTATGAATACACGTGAATAATTTCAACAACCCTTCAGTCAAATGGAGGCCAGATCAATTTATAGACCTTTGCATGGATTATACAGGGTAGATGAGATTCACAGTGTCGCTCGTCAGGAGAAATGTAATTATAGAACCTAATAGGGTCTCTGAACTTTAAAGGAATAAATTTGACCCTCTCTATCTACATAGCGTTTTACGACCTTACGCTCGAGTAGGAAATAAATTAATAAGTTTATGAGATGGCTTCTTTGTAAGCGGATATGTACGTATTGTGCACTGTTTCGTTTAATTTGATAAATCATCTCTTCATTTTCGTTGTTTCAGCATCGCGTAAGCGACGACGACCATTCAACAAATAGTCCACGAAACAGTCTAGATCCGTTTCGTACGGAAAGCGATCCAGGTATATTTCTTTTTGTTGTTTTTATTACTTCCGCACTAGAAAATGAACTCTTTATTTGATACTATTAGGGTTCAAGCGAGTTATTGGTGAATACGAAGATTTTCGGTCTTGGGACATGGCTCCCAACGGAAGTTGGGAAGACAACCTCGTAAATCAATTAAAGCATTTCAATAACAGTAACAAAATCCCTCGTTCAAATTTTCATTTTAAAATTTTATTTGAATGTGTCGGCATACTACACGAAAAGTAGAAAGGAGTGGAGATTTTCGGGTCGCGAGAACATTCTTCGCCCTGAGGATTTTCGCACAGCTAGTTCAGATGTTTACTACATCTGGGCGCCTTGCCCAGAGACGCAATTTGAATCCCGAGGCATTAAATTTCTTTTAGACAATCACCGATAACACTTTATCGATGAATTGTCAAAAAGAAATATACTATTTAAAATTATTTCAATCATCTCAAGAGAGCTTATTGTGCAGTTGAAATAGAAATTGTTTGAGTAAACTTGACAAGGCAAGAGACTAGTTAAGTTGCCTCAAGCTATCTAACAAAATATATACTAATAAATTGTAAACAATTGCCGAGTCGTGTACTTGTGAGGGGGCTCATCCAGTCATTAATATGTGAGAGCAGGGGTCCATAAGAATAAAATTTTGTTGACTAAACTAATAACCTTGCAGATGCCTTGGTGACTTATATCGGAGAATTTTACATTTCTTTCTTTCGTCAAAATCATATATTTGCTTTAAATGTTAAAAACTTTTCTAGTATTCCTTTACTTTAACAGTAAACCATATAGTACTTTATATGAAATTCACAATATATTACTAAATAAACCATTTCTTTTATGAGTCTGACCTTTAAGTGACGAGGCTAGCTAGCAGCTGACATGTATACGTTGAAATTTTGATATCGAAAATTACCTTCCAGCGCAATCAGAGTACAGCAACCAATTTCATTAATAAGTAAAAGAAAACCTTGATACATATTTGTTTTGTAATATGAAAACTCATTCACTGAGTGTTTGTAACAATTTAATGATTTAGCTTTTAATATTAATATTTTTGTTAAACATGAATACAATTTTTTGCTAAAACTAAAAGTTATGATTGTTTTCCTATGAACTAACGCCCGCTTGACAATTTCTCCAGTGTCAACGGAGTCTATATTGAGAACTGGACGATATTACAAGGGGATTTATTGGCCATCTATAACAAATAGTTTTAAGGTAAGAATTTTATCTTCATACACATCATCTTCATATAGAATTACAAAGACCCAAAATAATGCTACATAACATAGACCATAACATAGTTAGCCTAAGCGACAATACGAGTTACGAAAAACGTGCCCACCAACATTCCGATATAGCTATTTTACATATATTTCTTTTCACGTATCGACACATAATGCAACCCTGTATAGATCAAATTTCGTTTCATAAAAGAAGATAAACTGGCAAGCAATGGCCAATGTCCAAAACGGGTCCACCAGATGACATGCTAGAGAACAAAAACTTTTACTATGCACTGGTTATTTGCGCGGCCATGATACTTCCACTAGCCTCCTTAATCATTGTGTTCCATTCCTCGATGTTGTCAACTTATATCTATTATATATACATTATATTATACATTATTACATTACATTATATATTTATACATAATTTTTTTTTTTAGAGCCGTGATAGCTCAGTGTCCGGGCGCTCGCCTTTAATTCAATATACTCGAGCAACCTGAGTGCGATCCCCGGTGCCGGCACCAATGAAGTTTTTAACTTTAAGTGCTGACTTATCACGTGCTCCGCGGTGAAGGAAAACATTGCATTTTTTCGAAATAATAACAAAAAAATATATATATTTCGAAAATATGTGAAGTCCGCCATCCGCAGTGGGGCCGCGTGGTGGACTATGCCCTGAAACTTAATAGTTTCTGTTATGAATTCAGTGTACACCGTTACCCGATGCTACTGTTTTTACTATCTCCTTTTACTAGGTTGCCTGGAAGAAATCGCTTTTTAGCGATAAGGCCGCCTACTGTGCAGTTTTGTGTTATTTTTTGTTGATTATGCAATGTCCGTTGTTTGTGTACAATAAAGTATATTTCATTCATTCATTCATTATCCTCAACAAACGCTGCTGCACAGCTCTGTAAAATTAATAACGATGTGACATTCTTCAGGACGAAGCTGTTGAATTGTCTTACCAGCGCTACTCGAGGCGACAGCGCCAGAAGTCTCTGATCATGGTCAACGTGGTCGATCTGGCACTAAAGGTAAGGGTGAAGAAAATGATCCTCTTTCACCTCCGGTCATAATGCGAACTACTGCTAAATGTACCTGTAAAGTGGCCGACTCGCCTGGCGTAAGGGTGGTAATCTAAAAATCAAGCAATATTGAATAACGTATTCAAAATTGTCCTCCTTCCTTGTTTTCAAATAATAGAAATTATAAAATTTCTTAAGATCCTACCCGAGCCCGAAAGAAGGATAATGTTTTCGAGCGTGTACTTGTATGTACGTATGTACATATGGCGTAATGGCTTAATTGGGCTTTTGTTTTTAATGTTAACATTTACTCAGTTATTTGTTTTTAATATTTACTAAGACGCAATTATTATTATAATTGACTACATATCAATATATTTTCTTATTTCCAGATATGTTTATCGCTAATATACACGCTGACTAACAAAAATGACAGTAAGTATTTTATTATTTTTTTATTTCAATGTTATAGGCAAATTTTTATCCATTTCATTTTTACAACAAAAATATATGTCTCTAGAAATGTAAGTAAAATATAAAATGTAATTTAATAGAAAACATTTCATATCATGCAAAAATTTACTTGAAAACTAGGCTAAGGATATATAACGCTCAAGAAAAAAATTCCTGACGAATGGCAAACAAGAGAAACCACATAAACCTTGACAACTTCTGACTACAGATAATATTTTGATAACCCATGTTCTCAATACCTTACACAACAACAAATGTAATATCAAGATAGGCGGGAATAAACGGATAAATAAAAATTGTCAGCAATTTTTTAGTCACGTTTCGCCACATAATACGCAGTATAAATGAAATTTATCATTGTCTATTCGTCGACACGTCCATGTGTCAGTGCCATATACCGACATTTATCAAACATTTCTACTGGAACACCGTTTCAGAACAAACAAAATATTCGGTTGAAATCCTAACCTAATATACACCTAACCTAAAATAGTTATTGGCTAGTGGCTTGTTTATATTTTGTATGTAAACATATTCATTTCTATGCCTGCTGAATTACTACGCGTTGTTGGGTACTTTTAATACGCCATAGAATAAACACGTATTTTTACCTCAACAATAGTAATTTAAATATATTTTTTTAATGTGAGTAGATGGCAAGCAAACAGGCGGTTTATCTGATATTAAGTGACGGTCGACTTAAAAACGACACGGTAGAAAACAAATACATTTTTATTTACATACAATACTTACTATACAATTACTATTTTGAGACATATATAGATGCGTTGCCACCTTTTAATAAAATGGGCCGCGGCTACCTCACTCACCAGACGAAATGGAGAAATATGACACTGACACTTCACGCGGTGTTCTGTGAGGCCGTGGTGATTACCCAACGGACCTGCCTATTCGTGCAACATCCGAAGCCGTTACGTGGCGCTACCTCAGCTAATTTTTAATTGCCCTTCAATACATTGTACTGATATCGTCTTCTTATCCAGTAGAATCGGTGGCGGACAGTTATCAAATCGCGTGGACAGTCGCCTTTGGTTGTCTCAACGTGGCCGTCTGCCTCCTGGGTTGCTGGAGGTGTTTCGCCAACAACTACCTGCACTGGGCCGCAGCGGCCACTTGGATATTGCTAATAGCACAGGGTAAATTCAAACTGAAACCTCGATTAGTTATTCTAGTTATCAAATAACAGGAATCTGGAATTACTTTGGAGAAACTAGTTCCCGCGATATATCTTACCAAGTTCAGTGTCAATATTTTTTTAAATGTGAACTGATGATTTTCTATAACCGAAGATGGTTTGTGTACCGATGGGGACATACAGTGTGCCCCAAAACTAGCTTGGATCTTATTTACATCTTTATTATCAGTCATAAAAAATATTTAATTAATTTAGTAACCTGATGGCACTATACTCGTAATGTCCTACAGATTTTGCTAACTCTGTCTCCCAATCTATCTCTTAAAAATCTTCTTCAGGTCTCAGCGGGCAAGGTATCGGCTTCCAAGCACCGGAAAACCAGGTGTGGTATATGCTCTTCATCATCTTCGTGCCATACGCGATGCTGCCGCTATCGCTCGGCTGGTGCATCGTAATCGGGCTGTTGTCATCCCTCTCGCACGTACTGGCCACTGCCGTCGTCATCAAAGATATCATGGATAAAAATTCTGAGGCAGTAAGTAAGAGTGCAATTCCTATGATGATATTGTAAACATAAAAATGATGTCATGCTCTTTATTATATTTATTGTTTTTTGTCCTCTAAACTATTTTATAAGATCTTTTCAATTTTGGAGTTTCAGTTTGGAGATTTAAGTCAAAACTATATCTAAATCAAATAAAAACTATAAAAATTAACGTTACATTAGTATCAAAAATACTCTGGTTCTCATTGTCGGTCGGATATTTTGAACTTGGAAGATGTGTATTTCCTTTTGCGAATCCTCGCATAGAGCGGTTAAGTTATTTCATCATCCCTACATCATAAGCATACCAGCAGTTAGAGCTGACGACAAACGTATCGCCACCGCAGGCACAGTCCTGCGCACTGCGTCTGCTGCTCGGCAACGCGTTGCTGTACAACGCGGTGAACTTCGCCGGGATGTACGCCAAGTACCTCACGGACTGGGGACAGCGGAAGGCCTTCCTCGAGACGCACCGCTCGATGGTCACGCGTCAGCGCACCAAACGAGAGAGCGACCGCCAGTGGAAGCTGTTTCAGAGCGGTAATTTTTTTTTTTTTGGGCTGGATGAGCCACTGTTGGCCTTAGGGGCCTTCACAGATCCGACGGACTTGAGGTGGCCGGGCGCTCGAGGCACCTAGCCTGAACCTCGCGTATTTACTATTACGCGTTATGGTGACTAAGCTCGAGGGCTCCCGAAGGAACCTCGGCTCGGGCCGTCACGCTATTTAATTCACCGGTTTGGGAGGCTGCCTAGCTCTTAGGGTGCTTTGGCGGGGGCTCCATGGAGTGATCTGGCTCAAGGGTCCCCGAGAGGGGACCTCGGCTTGGGCTGTCACTCAGCACGCGTTTAGCATTCCGATTCGAGGGTGCCCGAGAGGGCCGGACCTCGGCTCGATCGGTAGCTGTTATCTGACTGGGGGGATCTCTAGAGCTATCATTACTACCACTTCGTAAAGCGTTGGCGCTGGGAGAAGAAGTGGCGGAAGAAACTCCAGCAACGCTTCTATCTTGAACTGGGGAGAACCTGCCAGGTACGTGGCGGAACCTAGTATATGTTTGCCGCACTCGCCGGCGAGTGCGGTTTGTGTTGGTGTGTTTGCGAAGTTTTTTAATCCTTTCGATGGCGATAGTCGTCTCATCGTCAGGGAAGTCGAGAACGTGTCGCGGTCTACGGTGATTGCGGCGGAACGTACCTAGCGGCAGGGGTCTGTAGGTGGCGGCACCTACGATTAGCGGGTTGGGATGCGCGGCGGCGGAATCGAAGTATCGGCGCGACGCCGACTTCAGGAATTGAGCGATGGTGGGCAACTCTAAATCGACATGAAGGTCGATATTGCGCATGTACCAGGGTGCTCCCGTGGCTCTGCGCAAAAATCGATTTTGGATGACCTGAAGCCGGTGAATTTGCTTCGGAGCAATGTGTGCGAAAACTGGACTCGCGTACGTCATGATAGGGCGAACTACTGCCTTATATAGAGTCACCTTGTTCCGAAGGGACATTTTAGACGTTTTGTTGAGGAGCGGATGGAGGCGACCGAGTACGAAGGCCGCCCGGTTCTTGACCCGTGTCACGTGCTGGTTAAATCTAAGTTGGGAGTCAAGGACGACACCTAAATATTTAACTTTGTTCACCCATGGTATCGGACTATCCATGAGTTTGACGGGGGGTGGTTTATCTACGTTTTTATGCGAAAAAAGGACGGCCGCGCTCTTGGCGGGATTGATTTCGATCCTCCATTGCCGAAACCAGTCACCGATGGTGATGGCTGCAGCTTGGAGGCGTCGATGGATAATTTCAGATGTTCTGCCTGCTGTATAGAGACAGGTGTCGTCGGCAAATAGGGCAAGTTCTACATCTTTGACTCGCGGCATGTCATTGGTGTAGAGCGTTAAAAGGACTGGGCCCAACACCGACCCTTGAGGCACCCCGGCTCGAACGGGATGCGTTGTCGAACACACGCCTTCGACGCGATAGCGAAAGGTCCGATTACTCAGGAAGTCTCGTATTATGCATACGAGACGATCGGGCACTCCGAGTCCGTATAACTTGTATACGAGCCCGTTGTGCCAGACTTTATCGAAGGCCTTTGCCACGTCCAAGAAGAGTGCTCCGGTGTTGAGTCCGCGTTGGCGTTTGACTAGTATGTGCTCCGTGATGCGGTGCACTTGATGGGTACAAGAATGTTTGGCTCTAAAGCCAAACTGTTCCGGGATGGGGAGCCCTTTGGCGTCCATAAGGGATCTTAGTCGGGCTAATATAAGTCTTTCAAAGATCTTCCCAAATGTTTTGAGAAGACTTATTGGACGATAAGAGGTTGGGAGGGTCGCGGGTTTGTGGGGTTTGAGGAACCCTATTACGTCAGCTTCTTTCCACTCGGACGGGAAGAAGCCTTCGGTTATAGCCGCGTTGTAAATTAAGACTAGTATCTGAAGGATGCTAGTAGGGAGAAGTTTGGTCACCTTATTGGTGATACCATCTGATCCAGGCGCTTTGCGTGGGCGCAGTTTGTTAATTGTTTCTGCGAGTTCCGAGCACGTGACCGGGGGAACGGGATCGCGGAGTGGTTCCGATGCTTTCCTTTCGACCTCTTCGTTCACCTTACGGAGGTGATCGGGGTGGGTCGGAAGCAAGCTGGGGGAGCATTGGGCCTCTAGACTGTCAGCTAGGCATTCGGCTTTCTCTTCGTCCAGCATTGCTGGCGTTCCTATCGGGTGAACTAGTGGTGGCATGTTTGGAGTGGCAATGCCCTTGAGGGATTTGGGAAGTTTCCAGAAGGCTTGGTGGGACGGTTTTATCGAGACTAGGGTGGAGTCCAACCGTTCGTTTCGTGAGTCTGCTATACGTGTTTTGACTTCACGTTGCAATTTACGTAGCAGTCTACGATTCGAGTCGGTGGGATATCTATCGTAGGCGCGTGTGGCCGCATTCTTGCGCCTCAGTAAGTCTTGTACATCGTCTGGCATTCAGAGCGGTAAGCTTTTCTGAAGCTTTAAGCGTTCCCTCTGGTGAGAGAAGTAGCCGGGGCTAGCCCACTTTATTGAAAGCTATTTAGGCAACGCACACGCATATGCATATGGATATTTGCAACACCCTTAGGTGTTGCGAATGTCTGTGGGCGGCAGTCTAAGTGATGACCGCATCAGGTGAACCTACAACTCGTCACCTTCTCACATAAAAAAGCTAAGATTAGACACGTTGTACTATAAGGCTAGTAAGGCAGAAGGTGGTAAACCATACGGTTCTTCTGATATAAAGTAGTGACCACTAACTATGGACATCTAAAACACCCGTGAGGTTGCAGTTACATCTCAACATTATCAAGAATGGACACTCGACACGTCATTTATTAGAACAAACGCAAAAGCATAAACATTTAAACTTAACTTCGGTCCCTTATGAGACATACAGAAGCAAAAGCGTGCGCAGGTCTACCACCGTATAATAAATGTTGTAGATTAAAAAAGTGATCATGATTAAATATTGCTAAGAAAAAACCTTAATCGAATTACTTTTGACTGTCTTTTCAAATAATATATTTTTCAACCTTTAACTTTATTAACGTTTCCAGTATACGTGACTAGATATTTTTTTCACAGTAATACCGGACTTTTTGGCAAAGGAAATCTACAGTCACGTATCGAGAGTCAAAGGAGAATTTCAAGAGCAGCAGTTCAACAATCTTTACATACAGAGGCACGAAGATGTGTCCATATTATACGCAGACATAAAGGGATTCACAGGTAGTTTAGCATGCTGCTTATTATTATTTTAAGTTACATCTACTTACGGAAACTATATACGGAGAATCTCACAGACTGTGAGATTACAGAGTATACCTAAATATATCTAATAAAGTCACCGTGTGGAGTCATAAAAACAGACTGTACTTTAATGTATCAAAATTATTTAATCTAATATATTGTAAAGCTAGGAATACGGCTAATTATTAGTACACTTACCAAAGAAGGAATAAACACCCAGATGTGTAAGGCCCGGTCGTTAAAACCTAACAACGACTAATAACATAATACCCATTTTGCTCCACCTAGGTGGGATAAGGACAGAAGGAAGATGATGAAGACCTATATAAGATTGCGCGGTGTCATCCCGTTGGATCCTTCGTTGTATCTTTCTCTATACGTCTTTGGAATGGCGGATACACAAACCGGCCAAGTGCGAGTCGGACTCGCGCACGAAGGTTCCGTATATACAATCGGATTATATCATGTATTATGTTTGTTTTGCAGAATTGTCGAGCAAGTGCAGCGCTCAGGAGCTAGTGAAATTGCTAAATGAACTGTTCGCGCGCTTCGACCGATTGGCATCGGTGAGTTCATTGTTGTTGTTAAAAACTTTTAAAACTAAACTACTTGTTAAATCAGCATAATACTTATTAGTATTATAATGTATGCAATAATCTCACATATCTCTCATTGCTTGCGAATATCACTTTCAGTACAACAAAGCAGTTTCAGATCAGCTACGCTTAAAGTCAAACTTATATTTCATATTCTAACGTAGGTACCACACCGTCCCCATAGCAGATTAGATTGGGCTTAGAGAGACAGTTATCAAAATCTTTCGCAACAGTTTCTGGTTTGTACGAATAAAATGGCTCGTCAGGGGATGTACCACGGCCTCTCAGAAGAGGTGAAGATGGCAAGGCATCTACAATTCCTATGGGACGTCCATGGGCAGTGGTGATCACTTAACATTAAGTGACAAAGATATGTATGCTACTCACTGCTGATGGGCAGACTAGACATATCATCGAAATATTTTTTTTATTATCATTTCGAAAATATGCAGCTTTCCAATGTTTTCCTTCACCGCTGCACTGAGCTATCATGGCCCATTTTACAAGTGGCGATTTCTAATGAGCTATCACGGCCAATGGCCCGTGTAAAATAAAATTAAATTGTAAAATGTGCAACTGACGATTATGTGCGGCTAACGAGCTGGCGGTTGCACGAACGGGCAGGTCCGTCCGGGTAAGTACCGCGACCTCACAGAAGACTTCTCTCGGCAAGTGTACATCCCCGATGCCAGCGATCCGAATTAGTGCGCTCTGCCCAGGAGAACCACTGCCTGCGCATCAAGTTGCTGGGCGACTGCTACTTCTGCGTCAGCGGGCTCCCGGAGCGGCGCAGCAACCACGCCTACTGCTGCGTAAACATGGGGCTGCACATGATACGGGCGATACGCGACGTGCGGTACAACGCGCAGGTACGCTTCAGCCATGGCTCACCACGAATCTGTTACGCATCATTGGTGTTGCGTACCCAAACGGTAAAAGGGGATCTATAACTAAGACTCCCCTGTCTGTCTATCTGTCTTAACTGTCATGGATCAGGCTCTATCAGCTTACCATGAACCAGGTACTCATCCGTACCCAAAAGGGTAAAACGGGACCTTATAACTAAGACTCCGCTGTCTGTCTGTCCGTCTTAACTATCATGGTTCGGGCTCTTTCCGCTTACCATGAACCACTTACTCATCCGTACCGAAAAGGGTAAAACGGGACCACATTACTAAGACACCGCTGTCTGTCTGCCTGCCCGTCTGTCACCACGCTGTATCTCATAAACCGTGATATACAGTTGAAATTTTCACATATGATGTATTTCTGTTGCCGCTATAACAACAAATAGTACCAAACGGAATAAAGAAATATTTAAGTGGGGCTCCCATGCAACAGACATGGTTTTTGTCGTTTCTATAGATAATGATAGGGAACCCTTCGTGCGCGAGGCCGACTCGCACTTGGCCGGTTTTTAGCGATATCGCTTAACCAAAGATACTACACAAGCTTATCGTCACAAGCCGCTACTGATGTCTCATAACTATATGGATATAGGTGATCGACTACGAGATGGGCGACTTACTGATTTATCGCCATAGAAATAAAAGCGCAAGATGAGCATAAGTTGTAGAGTTACGCAGCGGCTTCTGCTGTTGCACGAATGAGCAGACTCCTCCAGGTAAGTACCATGGCCTATCAAAACATCATCGTAAAATAGAATTATTGTACTTACGCGTTTCCTCTAATTAGTGAAGTCAAAGGTTGGAAATGTATCAGCAAACCTTCAGATGCTAAAGTTGTCTATGGACGGCGGTATTCACTTAATATCAGATGAACCTCTTGCTCGTTTGCGTCCTTCTCTCCAATTATTTGTGACATTGTCAGACACAAAGTTGAAGACAACAAGTGTTGACGAAGACGCAACAACTGATCAATAGCTTTTATCAAAGACTAATAAATACACGATTCAAATCCACCTCTGCAAGCGAAAATTTTAGTTCCTGGATACTATGAATACGTTTAGAATCTTTCACAAATTTTCAATACTGTCGCTTCATTTTCAGGTGGACCTGGACATGAGGATCGGAATCCACAGTGGCGCGGTGCTCTGCGGCGTGCTTGGACTTCTCAAGTGGCAGTTCGACCTGTGGTCGCACGATGTTGGCGTCGCCAACCACATGGAGAGCGGTGGCCTGCCTGGGTGACTGCAATATCCTCTTTTCTTTTTTTAAATAAGCCACCAACTGTAAGAATACCTTATAGTCTTGTTACCCGACTAAGCGAAGCCAATGCGAGTAATGTATTTATCAAATATTTAAGATGTACAAGAAACTATTGCGTATGTTTGTTCCTTTATGAAACTTTAGATACCAAACGTGTGGGCGAATTTCGATCTATTCTTGCTAGAATCTGTAAAGATAAGATAGTGAAAAAAAAATCAAATTTAAACAGGTCGTTGAAGAATGTTCTATTCAAAGAGCATATGTAAAAATTTCAGCTATCACGCAGTTGGGTTTTTCGATTTCTTAACTTCTGGTATTTATTCACAGACGCTTCACGCTTCGCACACATTACGCACACAGCACCCAGCATAAAGCGATTGTCTTCTTGTTCGCAGTCGAGTGCACATATCGTCTGCCACGCTCGAGTGCCTCAACGGAGCTTTCGAGGTGGAGCCCGGGGACGGGGGTTCGCGCGACCCGTTCCTGCGCGAGCTCGGCCTCACCACGTACCTCATCAGGTCCACGGAGCAGCCGCGCAGAACCAGGCACAGGTCCAGGCCGATGTGGTGAGCGAGATTTCCTCACGAGTGTCGTGAGTAGATCGCGGCATCTTTTACTGAAAACTAAAACGATCCGTGTGTAAAAATTTAAATTTTTCATAGTGCTAATCTCTGCACTTAAATTTGGACCCAGTTACTTCACTAACCAGCCGAAACGAAAGTATAATACTTTCACTTTACGCCCGTCTTGCAATCGCAACGTGTATGAACTGTGCTGCTATGATTTATTTTTGGAACTCTTCAGCATCCAACCTCAAGCGCAGCACTCTGAGGTGCCGCCACGACGGATCAGCAACAGCATCGATGAGGAAACTACCACCGACTGGACGCCAGAGATGCCCTTTCAGAGTGTTAGTGGTTCCTTTGCTCCTAATATTAAGTATGATAATTCTCGCTTTAAGTGTGATATGACGACCTTTAAAAGCTTTATTTCACTCAGATAATTTCGAAACTTTCAAGCTTAAGACGGTATCAAAGGATGTAGTTTATATTTTGATCGTTTTATAGAAGAACTAGCTGACCCGGCAAACGTTGTTTTGCCATATAATTATTTGTAGGGTAGAAAATATGTTTGGGGTGGCCCACTCTTAACATTTAGGGGGATGAAAAATAGATGTTGTCTGATTCTCTACCCTGGCCGATATGCACACAAATCAGTCGAGCCGTTTCAGAGGAGTTCAATTACAAACACGGTGGCACGAGAATTTTATATATTACATAACAAAGTATCTTTTTTAAAATAAATTTCAAATAATCCTGTAATCTTTTTTGTCATCGGGTGTACTTTTTTCGTAAATATTTTTCTCAGTTTTAAAATTTGGCTGAAATATACGGAATATTAATTGTAAATAATTAGGATTATCCATACCGGTCTTAAATAGATCAGTCTGTATTTATGATTGTCGTTAAGATAAATATTTTAATGATAATAATATTGATAAGGATCGTGCCTCATGGCAGTCTGTGGGGACTAAAATTACTAGCAGTGGACTCGAGCAAGCAAAATGATGATGATGATGATGAATAATTTTGACTTTGACTTTGAAATGTTTACATTATTGGGTCACTAACGGCTGATTCGTCTTATTTCTTCACAGTATTTCTCAAGCACAGCCGCCAACGTCACGCGCTGCCCGCGAATCATTAAACACGATGACGGGGAGCAAGGACAAGATATAGAAATCACTTCAATTTCTGACGTAAGATTTATGAAACGGAAATTTTCCAGTAGCGTTGGCAAACGCCACATGCGTTGCCAAGTCTTATAAATGTGCATCCGATTATTTAAATTGGCTTCCTCAATCAACAGACGAACACGAAAGTTAAATACTTCCACATCACGCCGATCTTCTGTTTGGCCGTGGTGAAACAGCAGAAGCTGTTGCGTGGCCCTACCAAAGCAACTTGTGTAACCGGTGATACAAGCGTTCTTAACTTACTTGTGATCCTATGCCGGACGTGGCCGCCCAGTCCTTCAACAGCACTAAGCTGTTGTATGGCCGAAAGCAACTACACGAGATAAGTGACATACGCCTTAAAAAAGCAAAAAGTACAAAAGCAGAAACTGTTGTGTGACCCTACCAAAGCAACTTGTGTAACCGGTGACACAAGCGTCCTCAGCTTCCTCTTGGGCGTCGCAGGAGGACGATATAATCAACCACTCGATCGAGGTGAGTAGCAACAGGCGCATGCGGTCGGACAACATGCGCTCGTGGTCGCTCCGCTTCCGGCGCCCTTCGCTCGAGCAGCGCTTCGCCAAGCAGGACGAGCGAACGTTCAAGTCCAACGTGATGTGCTGCCTCGTGCTCTGGCTGTTCATCCTCGCCGTTCAGTACGTCATACATTACAAGTGGGTTCCGTTGACTTTTTTTTTAAACATTGCCCTTATCCTGTGTTGTAAAAACGTTTTACAAACATAAATTTCATGCGGAAAAACACCCAGATGCGAAACAACTATCTCTGGGTGACCGAAATAGCTGTTCCGCGTGGGAATCGAACCCACGATCCCCGACGCCGGAGCCAATACCTTGGCAACTGCGCCACGGAGTCATCATTTTTTTCTGTGCGAAATTGCCAAGCCGGCGTTCGGTTCCCTAAGTGATCAAAACAATTGTAGGATTGCAAATACGCTGCCAATCTTTAAAGGCAACAGAAAATCATAACCACAGTCATGATACGAAGCGCAAAAATATTATTTTATTAAACGCTAGTTCTTCGCTTCTTTCAGGCCGTAGGACTTCAACGTAGAAACTGCCCGTTCGTGCAGTAGCAAAAGCTGTTTTTATTTTTTCTTTTAGTTGCCTTCTGTGAATGAAATCTTACATATTTATATTTTATTTTTCGTTAAATTGTCTCATATTGTTTAAATTGTTTGAGTTAAGATTGCGTTAAAATATGTAGAAAAAGTGCAAAATTTCTTTGTGGGATCGAACCCATGTCTTCGGCATCGGCCTCTAGCCACTGTACGGCTTGCAGTCATTCTTCCACGTTTTCTTAGCTTTGAAAATGTTGGCGCCATCTATTGTTATATCCTTTCCAGCATACAAACAACTTCGAATATGGTTTTAAGCGGTCATTCGAGAGAGATCACTTGCTTTTTTAATTTAAATTGTAACCCCTATGATTTAGCCCCAAAGATTGATGTAAAATAAATATTTCAAATATTTCACATATTATTTAACTTTAATTAATTTATTTTATTGAATTTAAAAATTTGTAAATAGTAATCGTAATCCGTAAAGCCACGTAACATCGCGCAAATACAAAAAATTATCATAATTTAAAACTTAAAAGTTAAAAGAAAATTATTACTTAGTTTCCTAACAAAGAGAGAATGTTTCACTACGTTGAAACTGTAGCCCGGGTTAACAGTGTCAATTGAACGTCAAACCTTTAACTATGGCCGCTTTAACTTATTAAAAATGTCCGACTTCAAATTGAAGCATACCGCTATAAAATCCTTAGAATTAGTTCAATACAAATACTTAAAAATTTGTTTATATATATATATATATATATATATATATATATCAACTCAAGATAAAATCTCGAACAAATATGCTACAAAGTTTAGAGAAAGCACGCGGTGCACATACGGCTAGTTTCAATATCCAATCTACAGATAGATTTGGTTACTAGCGATAGTTATTTGACATTAGCTCCATTATACTTCGAAATCACCAGTAACCAAATCTATTAGTAGATAGAACATTGAAACCGGCCGTATACCAAGACACTACATAGTTCAGACAGAGATACCAATTAAATCACCAACCTGAACATCCCGCGACTAGCGGTTCGCTAACTCTCTCTTCCTCTCTTTGTCTTGGCAGCTGCTGGCGGCTGGTGGCGACCCTGGGCGCGATGTCCATTCCCCTGGCGCTCTCGTTCGGCGCGGTGATGGCGGAGGAGTTCCCCCACGCGGCGCCAAGGCTGGCTCGCCTCTCCGCCGCGCTGAGCCGCACCCGCCTGCGGCGTAACTTGCACATCTGCTGCTTCGTCACCATCATGTCGATATCGAGGTGGGTCCACATCCCCAGGTAGTTTTGTTTTGTCTATGAACTATGTATTGCATGCCTCATACAGGTTGTGCCGTACTCTCGACACGGCAATTTTTAGTTCTGAAACTGCTTCTACCACAAACAATTGACACTTATACGAACATATGAGTAGATGTACGAGTACTTCAAGAAAACAGTAAAACAGTTTAAATAATCTATCCCATATTCTGTAAAAAAAAGACAACTATATTTTGCTAATTACACTGAAGGACTCGAAAGGTCAAGAATTTAAAATCGAAACAACACTCGGGCGAACCACACAATGGACAGTTTTAAACCGCGGCTGTTTTTCACTTGATTGCAATTCAATACCCGCTTAATCTTCTCCTGTAGCACAACGAAGCTGTACATCTGCCCACCGTCGTTTCGCAACGCGACTGGCAACATCGCTCGCCAGAACAGCACCGCGACGGACAGAGAGCGGATCGGCGAGTGCTACAGGCCGGAGTACGTTGTGTTCACTTGGATCCTCTGCATGGTCGCCTTGACGTCCATATTGAAGCTGTACTACCTGATCAAGACCCTGCTGGCCATAATCAACGTGGCGATATACTCGGTGCTGCTACTGATATACTACAACGAGTACGACTTCGACTCGCTGAACGGAGGCACGTAAGTATTTTTGTTACCTCCTTATAAAACCTCTTCTCTCGCTCTAAGGTAACGTTGTCCGTTGTTGTCAGGACAATGGACATAAAAACGTGAATTCCTTTATTATTAAATTTTATTATTTTGCTGTCAACACATTCTTTATTTGTCAGTGTCACTTTTTCATTCTTTGACCATTTTGCTTATGTCACTTACTTACGGTCGGTTTCAATATTCGATCTAGAGACAGATTTAGTTATAGGAGATAGAATTTTGACGTATAAATTATGGAGCACATAGCAGTCTACGGAGGAGGCTTATTTTCAGTAGTGGACTCAAAGAGGCTGAAATCATGATGATAATTATGAAGCTAATGTCAAATACCTATCGCTAGTAACCAAATCTATCCGTAGGCGGCCCTTGAGCCCGGTTTACACTGGTCAAGTGTTTAGTACAGTAGACAAGTAAAGTGAGTATCTACTACTGTACATACTCACTGTGCTGGACAGTGCCGAGTTGCAAGTTCACTTGTAAACTGTACTAAACACTTGACCACTGTAAATCGGGATTTAGGCACTATTTTGCATATATTTCTTTGTTACACACTATTTTGTATCTATATATTAAGTTATTACATATTGTATACTACCCTTGCAAATTGAATTGAAACAAAACTGTAGTTTCTGCACTCATAATGTGTTACTCATAATGTTCCTGCTTAAATAATCGGCAGGGGAGTGATATGGCATTAAATAAAAAATATTAAATATTAAATTTGCTCTTTCTCACATCTACGTGACAAGCGTTACTTCATAGACTCGCAACAGTACGCTTGTCACGGAGTCTTTTCACTTACAACGTAAGCATTGACTTACTAGAATACCTTCAACACAGGCAGCTGCCGTTCTACGTGCAAATGTTGATCCTCATGGTGATGTTCCTGGTGATCGTGGTGTACCACGCGAGACTGGTGGAGGTCACGTCGCGGCTGGACCTGCTGTGGCGGCTGCAGGCGGAGACCGACCTCGAGGAGATGCGGGATACCCAGCGCACCAACCGCCACCTCCTGAAGCACATACTGCCCGACCACGTGGTCAACCACTTCTTGATGAAAGACCGATGCCCAGACGTCAGTAGTCCTTTTATATCCACCCGATGTTTTACCTGTAGCTTCTGTAGGATTATTTTAATAAATTGTGGAAAGTAAAGTATCAGCCTATACATGTCCCACTGCTGTGCAAAGGTCTCCTCTGTACAACGGGTTTTAGGGCATAGTCCACCACGCACCCCACTGCGCATTGGCACACTTCACATATCTTAGAAATATTCATTTTGTCATTATTTCGAAACAATGCGGGTTTCCTCACTATGTTTTCCTTTGTCATTTAGCACACGATAAGTAAAAAAATTAACCGTACTTTATTCCTGTGGTTGATGACAATTCACTTAAATTTTAATATAATTATAAATTGATGAAAAGGCAGTGTACTTAGGTTTTTCAATAATTTTCCAATTATTTAATATTTTCAAATATTGCTATATTCTATACTCTTTGTTAGTACATTTTTGAACTATCCCATATTTTTCCCTGTATTTCGACTTTGCTATGTAACAAACTGCCCTTTGCAGCTCAATTATCGAGTAGTCGATTTCCATTCCAAGTTTACATTTTAAATCATCAATAGCTGGTGTACTAGCATTTTAGAAAACAAAGACTATCCTTCAAGGGCTTTCACCTCTCATTCTGAATAAGTAGGGGCTGAAACATAACTACTCATTGAACTACGTTTCCATTAACAGGAGCTATACTCGCAGTGGCGCGACGAAGTGGGCGTAATGTTCGCCGGAATCCCAAACTTCCACGAGTTCTACTCGGAGGAGAAAGCGGTCGACTGCATGCGGCTGCTCAACGAGATCATTTGTAATGTACCAATCGGGCACGATCTACTTAAAACACATCAACAGTCACTAAAACTTCACAAATTGTCGCTAACAACTGTACACGGATTCGATGTTTACCACTAATTACGACATTAATTAATCCTAATTAACGTCGCAATTAGAGGTTCATTCAAGACAAAAAAACATGTATACAATTAATAGTAAAAAATAAATGTATCAAAAATAATACAAAAAGAAATAAATGCAAAACAAAAGCCAACTTACTATTATATACGTATAAGTTACTCTAATATCTTTGTTGTTTTTAGTTGATTTCGACAAACTGCTAATGCAGCCACGGTTCAAAAGCATAGAGAAGATTAAAACTATCGGTGCTACGTACATGGCAGCCTCGGGTTTGAACCCAAATCACAAAGTAAGTATTGCAAATAATAAAAATATTATAACTGGCCTCTTACTACAAATGTAAATTAATTATTCTTTGCATTTGAACCTGCGACAAGTCTAGTCGACGCAGCCGAAAAGCGACTGCCTTTTGCAATAACGTGAAAACATGTTACAACAGGTACATTTTTACAGATTGGAGACGATGATTGTGAACACCTGTGTGCGCTGGTGGACTATGCATTCGCTTTGAGAGAGGCCTTGGAAGAAATCAATAAGCACAGCTTCAACAAGTTCCGACTGAGAGTAGGTGAGAGAGTAACTGCAGATAATATTGACTGACGACCCGATTGGTGTAGGGAGTAGTGACCCTGCCTCTTGCGCCAGAGGGTGTGGGTTCGATCCCCACTACTGGAAAAATATTGTGTGATGAACATCGTGTTTTTCCAGTGTCTGGGTGTTTATATATGTATAATATGTATTTATTTACAAAAGAAAAGTATATTTAAGTATGTTTATAAGTTTATCCAGTACCCATAGTACAAGCTTTGCTTAGTTTGGGACTAGAGAACGTTGTGTAAAAGATGTGTCCGATATTAATTTCTTATATTAATGCGAATACTTTAAGCGCGTTTTTGTTCCATAATATATTTTGGATTTTAATGCATAAAATAGATTCAGTTAACCAACCACAGATAATATATGCAGACTAGTAAATTTAACAGGACAACACAAATAAATTACCAATGAATTAAATTAAAACAAAGATTTAAAAAAAATATGTTATAAAATTTGAAAATAAAAAAAATAAATATTTGAATATGTGATTTTTAATTCAAAACTCGACACCTACATTACGAAAACTTCTTTTACTCTTACGAGAGAGAGCTTCCGTTTGCGAGGGAGCTTTTATAGTATACTTCCTTCTATTTCAAATTCAAAATTCAAAATCCAAAAATTCAAATACTTTTATTCACATAGACGCTTGCGCGTTCTTATGAAACGTCTAAATTTTTGCATAGAAATTAATACGTTCGTAAGTTACCAGCACCAGTTCGGAAAGCAATTTCCGTTGAGAAGAAACCGGCAAGAAACACAATCGTTGCTCTCTTCTTTAAAACGACTAGTTTACAATATAATACGATAGGTATAAGTCTTATTTTAGCCTACGTGAGCATCAACAGTATTAACCCAACACATTGGCGTCTTCAAAATATTCCGCAATGGTATAATACGCTTTAGCCATAAGTTACGTTTTAATTTTGCGTTTAAATTGATCAAGTGGCAGACTTAATATCGACTAAAATTGTTAGATACGTCCAACCAATAATATTCACGTTGCGGGATGTGTATGGATCGTGCTTCGTGTTCTGTGTGGGAGGCTGTGTGTGTTCAGCAATGGACTCAAATTGGCTGTAGTGGTGATGATGAATATTCACGTGGATTTCAGGCATTAGCTGCGGCCCTCTCGTCGGCGGGGTGATAGGGGCCCGTAAGCCCGTGTACGACATCTGGGGGAACACGGTGAACGAAGCATCGCGCATGGAGAGCACCGGCGCGATGGACCGCATTCAGGTCACCAAGTACACGAAACAGGTATTTTACCCCTTCAGGGTGACCTGGCGCACATTAGAAAGCTTAAAATTAGCTATGGTCTTAAGATTAATCCTTGCAAGTCCCAGGCCATCATTGTTGGTGGAGTTGGCATGATTTCAAAGGTAGATTGGGATAACCTTCCCTCGATAACATTAAATGGTGTTGTGGTGCCATACAACAAAACTGTTAAAAACCTTGGTGTTCACTTCGACTCTACTTTCTCGTGGTCTCACCAGTTAAAGGAAGTTAGCAGGAGAACATTTGCAGCCATGGGTTCTCTGCGGCGCTTACGTTCTTTTCTCCCCATTCCTACTAAGATTATGTTAGCACAATCCTTACTTCTTTCCCTTCTCGATTATGCGGACGCAAGCTATCTTGATTTAACCGAGGACCAACTTAACAAGCTTGAGCGAATTCAAAACTTAGCTATCAGATTTATTTTCGGTCTACGCAAGTATGACCATATCTCCGAATATCGTACAAAGCTCAAGTGGTTACCCATCCGCCTTCGCCGGAATCTGCATATTGTTTCTCTTCTGTACTCTGTTTTGTTCAATCCTATGACTCCGAGTTATTTGAAGGAACTGTTTAAATTTCTTGGTCATGACAGACCAGAAAGAGTTCTGCGATCAGCCAGTGAACTCATTATCACCCCGCATACATTCCGGACCAATTATTTTAAGAACTCTTTTACGGTCAAAGCCATTTGCCTATGGAACGCGCTTCCTCCACACATCCAGCGCTCAAAAACGTTACGCAAGTTTAAAACTGACGTTAAAAATTATTATCTGTCACTGTGTTCAAGCTGATTATCACCGACGACATTTGTATATTTATTTTTTATTCTTTTCTTCCTGTATATAGTATTATTTGTAAGTTATTGTACAGTATATGTTTAGATTTATGTATGTCTATTGGATCTTATTTCGTATATATTAGTATATTATTATTATACAAAAATACAACATATTCGTTTAGTTTATTTAAATATTAGTATGTAAGTTTATCATTTACACCACCTACCATTGTCCAAATTAAATATTTTTAACCACAAGGTTGTCTGGAAGAGATCGCTCCTTAGCGATAAGACCGCCTTATTGTTTATACCTCTTAAGTTTATAGTTCTGTAACATTTCCTTTCATGTTTTTTTGGTGTTCAATAAAGAATATATAATAATAATAGAAAATGGCGTTAGATTCTTTCGTTTCGTATAATTCGTTTAGATTTGTGATCGTCTATTCTGTTTGTTATAAGTTTGTTATACAGTTCCCATTGCGTTTTACCAGTATGTTTTGTTATTTTTTTATGTATATTATTCAATCGATATGTAAGTATATAAAAAGGAGGAGAGCACGGCTTTCAGCATATATACATGCAAAGTAAGTAAATTAGTTTCTCACATATAAGACTCCTAGTGGCAAACTTACGTTGTAAAGTTTCACTAAAAACATCCCTTTTTTAATCTTTATTTTTAGAAAGGGGTTTTGTCACACAGTGACTATGACACCCCCATTTAATAATCCCAACAGTATTAACTTAACCCACTAGTACGTAACAGTAATACAAAAATTGTTCATTTCCCGGCCTGCACTATCCCCTCAATGAAGAGATTATATTCTTTTGTGTATTTTTTTAAAATAAGTGTATTTTTTTAAACAAATGAATTTGCAAACTATCATTTCGCGTCACGCTGCAGCAGATCCTTAAATGTATAATACGTGCCAATTCATTTGCTTAAAAAGAATTTGAAGCAAATGAATTTGCAAACTGTCTTATCGCGCTGCAATAGATCCTGGAGCGGCGCGGCTACGGGCTGGAGCCGCGGGGGCCGGTGGAGGTGAAGGGCAAGGGGCGCATGGAGACGTGGTGGGTGCGCAGGAGGCGGGCGAGGGGCGCGGGGCCGCTGCCCGCCCCCGCGCCCCCGCGCTCCCTCGCCGCCCTCGTCTACACCATGCTGCAGGCGCGCAAGCGCATCTACACGCACCCGCTCGACACGCCCGCCGCGCGTGAGTATGCGTGCTTTTTTAAACGGTTTTATTTAGACACTCGACACGTACGGAATTTGTTTATTTATTTGGGTCAAAATTAGAAATTGAAATTTAAGCACCTTCCCGTTGTCAGATTGATCTGAAATTTGGTACACACATTTAATTTAGATGACAATACAATATTGTACAATCAGTGCACAAAAAAAAAAAACATAAAATAAAACCGTTTAACTTAAAAGTTTTTAAACGGTTTTTTATTTAATGTAAGAAAGTGGCAAACGAGGTGGCGGCACAACTGACGTTAAGTGATAACCACCGGCCATGGATATTTGCAGCACCCGTAGGGTTGCAAATGCGTTGCCAGCTGCAAAAAAAGTGGGCCCCGGCTACCTCGCTCACCAGACGAAACGCAGGAGTGTAACACTTCTACTTTACGCCGATCTTCTGTGAGGTCGTGGTACTTACCCGGACGGACCTGCCCATTCGTGCAACAGTGAACACTGTTGCGTGGTCCTATCACAGTCAAGGTCTAACTGTGGCAGGGCCGCGCAACGGTTTACGCCGTTGTACGATTCGACAGTTCCATCCGGGTAAGTACCGCGAACTCACAGAGGACCGGCGTGAAGTGGGAGTGTAATACTTCAGCGTTTCGTCTGGTAGCCAGGCCCCCTTTAAAAGGTGTCAACGCATCTGCCACCGTACTGGTGTTGCAAATGTCCACGGGCGGCGGCTATCTCACCATGCGAAAATTTTGGACCGCCAGCTCGCTTGCGACCTTCTGTATGACTTCGTAGCACTGTTTGTTATTTTATCGTTTTCCGAAGAAAGTTAAATCCAAAGTTTGTTGAAGTTCTGTGATTTTTATAGCTTAATTAAATCTATGTTCGCTGTTGAAATCAGTTTAACATTTCTGCGATAAGGAAAAGAAGTTTCTACACTGTATATATCAGCTTAACGAAACATGGGTGTATGATAATTTTATGGAACTATCTATTTGCTGCACATGTGTAAAAATTAAGATTGAAGAAAAAGACTTTCATATATTTCTGATTAAACATTATATTTGATTATCTTTTCCAGAAGGTTCACGGGGAGGCAGTGTGCGAGCTTCGCAAAGTTCACGCGTACCGAAGCGACACACACACACGTAAGTGTGTCCATCTTTATTTTTACACGGTGACATTATCAGTAAGCTCTAGGGACTATAATATCTATATATTGAATACACGACTCAAAAAATGTTGATGATTTCATGGGCTGGGCATGCTTTCATTAATTTACCGAAACAATTTTACATTTTTCAAATGTTTCCAATGCTTTGTCCTATGCGTTATTTAGTACATGAGCATGTATTAAATCGCTGAACATAAACCGTTACAGGTGCAACCTAATCATGCAATATCTTATTAAACGTCACGTCGCATTCGATGTTGATGAGAATTTGAATCGGGGCTGAGGAACAAAAAAACTCTAATCGTATATATAACAAAACCTCCCTTTAATCTTGTGCACTTATTATCCATTACATTTTACACAAGTAACCATAAACATGTTCAACGGTCGGATGTCAATGTCATTATCAAAGAGTACTTTTATGTATCTGAATTGTCTTTTAAATCTCAACGCCGCGATTGAGCGCCGTCCGCTGTATCGATAAGCGCCATCTCTCGGTACAAAACAAACTAACAACATAACACTTCGCAGCAACGGCCAGAAGATGGAGCTCGGCATCAGGCCGCACGCCAGCAGCATGGTGGTGCGTCGGCCCGACATGGCACCGCCGTTAGTGGGAAGCGTGTCGGCGCCCCACACGCCCACCGCGCCGCACACGTCTCCGGAGAAGTTCCCCGAAGCGGCGCCCAAGCTGGGGATCGGGGCGCGCCTCAAGGCGGCGAGTTTTTCCTACAAGACGCGCCCCTATAGAGGCTCCCCTCGCATCCGGGAAGAGAGGGACGGCTCGGGTTCAACAGCGAACGGGGCGCCGGGCTCGTTCCGCTTCCGCTCGGTGACCACCGCCTCGTTCTTCCGCAGCCGCGCCAGGGAACACAAGCTGAGCGCGGAGCGGATCAGCGAGATGACCGGCGACGCCGAAGCCGTAACCAGGATATAAGGAAACGCGGTGCAAACTTTAACGCGGGCCGAGGCGTAAACCAAAACGTACATCCAACAAGGGACGCTTTAACAGCGGACTTGAAATACTTACAATGCCGGATTGAGATCTGGAGGCCTCGGGGCAACAAACGAGTGGACGCCCCTTGGCCCCAAATTATTTTCCATTGATTTCTGGTAATATTTTTAATGCAATAATATTTGTACAAAATACTGTAGGTAAAGGTAAAACGCGAAAAAAAATATGAAAGGAAAAGTTGTTTACTAGTCTGAATTTGTAATTATTTTTAAGTCTCTATTGTGGGGCCCTTCTTTTGTGGAAGGCCCGGGGCCTGTTCAATACCTAGGCTTCACCTAGGATGTCATCTTCTTTCAGAGGCACCTCTGCGAACTACCGGACATAATACCCAATGTAACTTTTTCGACTAGTGTTCCCAGAAGTGATGATAAAATTACTGACTTGCCATAGCGGCGTGGTAATTAGGATATGTGTGCAAAAAACCAAATGACTAAGACGGGCTAACGAGAAACCGTCGTGAAACTATTTTAAGAAATACGTAACTTATTTTTTTTTTTTAGTATAATGCAATTATTTACCCAATAGTGAGGCATACGACTTAATAAGAACGGAAATTTTCTGGCACAATTTTTACCAATATTATTATTTATTAGAATGCATTATTTATTAGAAACAAAAATTTGACATTTTTGTAGATAATTTAATTCCTATCTTAATTATGAAAACTATAATGTTTTGACTACAACATAGATCAAAATATTTGCGATCTGTTAACATTAGCGCAATAATTTTATTGATATGTGATAACTGTTAGTAGTATAAGTTGGATAAGTCAATGTGCATAGCAAATAAGAATATAAATCATAATATTTATTTTGTACCTTGTCCGTCCGTGGGTTTCAACAAATTCTCAACCCAATTGACAAATACTTCTGTTGTTATGTTCAATCCATTACATACTTTGAATGTCTCCTTGTAATCGTCCACGCAATTATAATTTCAAGAGCGTTTCGCCCTTTAATCAGTGGGCCCCGGTTACCTCACTTAACAGACGAAACTCAAAGGTGTAATTCTCTTACTTTACGCCTGTCTTTTGTGAGGCCGTGCTATGTCCCAAAAGAGCCTTCTCTCAAAAGTTTATTTTATTGTTATTCTTGCTCCCTTATTTGCTTAGACATATACCATCATAGAGCGACATAAATTAAGGCAAACAAAGTGGAGATATTAATAAAAGTAAAACTAATAAACGAACAGACAGGCAAATAGATTTCCATGTTACAAAATTAACAATATTAGGTCATGAGATCACATAGACAGATATCTATCTTTATGAACGATTTTTAGTGATATTTATCCTTAGTATTTGTATTTACTCCTGTTACTCTGTTTGAAACCGACATTTAAAACATTATAAACATGGAAAGACTTTTTTAAGTACACTAAGAACAAATCGTCATGAACTAAAAATGTTCCCTTGATGACTTAACTTTATTAATTTGACAGTTTAACCAATCAACCTGAGTTTACATTCTACAGTAATTAATATGTTTTAAATTAATTAGATGGTTTTTGCTTCATTTTCATTTGTTCTGACAACATGACCTTTAGCGTACTTAACGTAATCTAAACATTATATTTGTAAATATAATGTATTATTCAGGTTTACCTTGCCTACTTTTATCTTATATATTCTTTATATTTATATCAGGATTGTCTACAAAGAGGGAAGTTTAAGACATCAAACCAAGATATTTTACCTTTACCAAGAAATTGGTAAAGGTAAAATATCAGCTCTAAAAGTCGTTAAGCTCAAACTGTTTTTTATCCAAAATATAATTTTTATATAAATGTAGTCATATAATAAGAAAATTTCGTAAACTAAATTAAATACAATATGTTATCGTAATTAAATATAAAAGCTGTGATTTTTATTTATTACTGACATAATTCAATATTATTCATTAACTATTTCTGTCAGATACAACAAGATAGAAGATAGATGGATATGAAATGCAAGCATTATTTCAATTCAAGACACTTTAGTTGTAGTAGGTATTCAGATAACGTTTTATTAGATACTTACGAATATCTAGTTGTGGAGGTGAACTAACAGTATTACCATATAAAATTAAAAACAATATTAACATTTCATGAAAAACCTAGTCAGTTCTTTTTTTAATGAAGTTATAATTATTTATTAATTATTTTTAAATATTCATTTTATTCACTAAGTCAATTAGATAATAATCCCTATTTTTAAGTCATTGTTGTAAAACATATATGTATAATATATAATTAAAAGTACGGTAATATCATAAATCTCTTAATGATAAATTTTATATGTCATATTTAAATTATTTATTTTACGTTATACTAAATTATTTTAAAATATTTTTATTTACCGATTAAAAATACTAGAATCTGCTTGTGTATATATTTCTACTAACATTAAATGTTTAATTTAGATGAGATAATATATTAATTTAATAAATATATAGGTACGCGTTTGTAGATATAAAGTAGTCAAATTTATTACGTAACTTAAGAAGCCATATATATATATGATCTCGAAATGCGGTTTATACGTACTTATTAAATAAGTAATTAACGTGCTACAGCACATACATGTAAACAAATCATGCTAACATTGTTGTTGTTAAATAAAACAACAAATTGTTTTCATATATTTGCGTTATTTATTAATATAAATAAAAGTATTTAAATACTTTAAAGAAGCGTATACATAATGTTAGCAATTACCAAAGCCAAATTAATTTATTCAATGTGAAATTAGATGTGTCATATTAAAGATGTTACTATATTTAGAATATACAATGCTGTGCAGAATTATATGTTTTATTTCTTACACCCTAATCTCTTATATTTTGATATTCTGTTTCCAAAGTACTAGCCTATAATAATAGCAGCCTATATATAATATTTGTCCAGTGAGAGAATCGAGCCCACGACCCCCAGCCCTCATGTCTCTCTATGTATATCTATTGTATATCAATTGTATATCTCTCTATGTATATCAATTGTATTAATTTTCAGTTATTTGTAAACTTTTAAAAGACTACAAACTTTGTACACAAATATGTGTTATTGAAAAACATGCTGATTACTATCTGAGGACGCTAGTTTCAGTTAGTTTGCATTGTTTGCAAAATTGTTTCTATAATATAAGACAAATAACGAGAAAGCAAGTATGGTGTTAGCATGTTTGAAGTATCGACGTATTTAATAACAACACAACTATAAAAAACATGTTTTTATAGTGCGTTTCGCAAAAAAATAGGAACTTCAATGACCTTGAATGACGCGATCTGTCACAGGTAATAAAATGCCATTCTGTATTTCTCCCAGGTTTAGGCTCTGCTGTTTAACTTACTTCAGCCACTAGTGTCCCGCTGTTGAGCAAAGGCCTCCTTCCATTTCTTCCACTTCTGACTGTTTAAGAAGTGGACTGTTTAACAGTCGACGTAATATTTTAAATGCGTACATAAATACATATTGTATTTTTATCATACAGCGTGTCGTTACCACCACGACAATAAATTAACACACATATAGAGGATAACTTTTTAAAATTGTATTAAACATTTACATTCTTTAAACATCAATATTTACCGAGTTATTAAATTTTCCAAAACAAACAATTTTAGAACACCCGTAGTATAAAACTGTAACGTAAAGTTCATTTGTAAAGGTCACAAAGCATATGAATGGGTTGAATGAATTTAAAAGAGACAAAACATACTGTTAGAAGGAGAGGCTTGTAATGCGACGCTGTGGCGGGTGTTGTATAGGATGTTACAAATTTTGGTTCTTTTTTACTTAATTAGTTTGTTTGAAAAATATTTTTTTTTAATTATGGATTTTATTTAACTTTATAAATTTTTTATTTTTATGATTATTGGCAAGTAGCGCTAGATGTGTGTTCATTTATTGTCGCGATGGTAACGACACAATGTATAAGCAGCAGTGATGAAGATAATAATGATCGCTTATATCCTAACAGATATAAGCGAAATTGAAGTGTTTTATTATTTTTCTTTCATGCTTTAAATACATAATAAATTAATATATACGCATAAATAAATTTGTTAATAAATATTATTTCATCCTATTTAACCTACTTAACTTCACCCTACTTAAGTTGTTTGAATTCACAGCTATGTGGTCACAAGATGGCGCGAGGTCACTCCTATTAATATTTGAATTATCATTAATTATGAATTTATTAATGAATTATTATTATCTTATTTGAATCGCATAGTATTGCCAAATTAGTAAAGTTCCCTTCATAGAATGGGTATTAATGCCAATCTTAATTAAACATAATTTACAAAGGATAGGCAATAAAATAAACACCCCAAGTAAGTTTTCGTAAAGAAATTTATTGCTAGTAAGGTCATAACAAAATATCATCGAGAATTTTTTGTGATGGTCCGTTCCTTATCATATTAGGGGCTAATGAAATTTTATAACACTGTGGTGAAGGTGATGATTTAATGTTACAATAAATAGTGATGAAGTGTATAGAGTTAAGCTTAATAGGAAAGTTGTTAAACAGAAAATTTTAACACAGCCACATTCTAAAAAAACAAACACTGATATATCGTCAGTTGATGCGTAAAACTCATTTACTACGGATAATTTTACATGCGAGTATGAGCCTTCAAGTCTATTAACATTTAAAAAAATATTGCAGGAAATTTACACAAAGTAATTAGTGCCAAACTAAGCTTGTACTATGGAAACTAGGTATCTGATAAACAAACTTTTCTTCTGTAAAATATATACTAATGGTATATTAAACTCTCATATACCTACCTAACACTGTTCATCAAACGCCAGCGCATACACAAAAGACGACTGTAAAGGTACTTTTTGAGCTCATATCAACTGACAATATTTTCTAACCTACTTAAAGAAAAAATCCTATTCCGTGGTTTCTTCCATTCCATCCATAATTCCATCAACTGATTGGAAGATTTAATTATGTATTTAAAACATTACATACAAAGTATTATTGCACGGGAGTTTTTAATAAAATAAAATCAGATGTACTTTTATAACAGAATTGTATAGATAGCATAATATATTAATTTGTACTTGATTTCAATCAAAGTAAGATATAAATGTGTCTGTCATTAGGGCGGGCGGATAAACGCACAAAAATACGTCATAAAATTTTTGTCGATAGAAAAACATCATAGCTTGCCATTTATTCACTTATGGTGGTTGGGCAACGCGGTCAGAGATAAGGAATCGGTTCATACATTATTAGTGGCATTATTACCTCTAAGACTCAAGACACATACCAAATAACTTGTTAAAAATATGTCCAATGCACGCATAGGATAAATAGTATTAATACTTGGTCAAAAGTTTGTAAAATTAGTTTTATTTCAATAAAAATTATGCAGCTACAAAAAATAAATATTATCATGATTTCAACATTAAAACATTATCTAATAATACAAAAAGTAACAATGTGTCATAATTATTGTGTATAAGAAAAATCTAGACAAACTAGTGCTTCTATTGTGATATCTAGGAGGAATAAATAAAAATATATACTAATTAGGTCCCATTCAACAAAGCTTCATGTAGACATGGAATTATATATGTATTACAATTAGTATTTATTATATACTTGAACTATAATAGAATTATAATATTAGAAACAAAACCTTCGCCTTTTCTAACAAACATTCCAACATATTGCATGATATCAAAAAGAATTATCAAAAACTGCAGTGCGTATGAGAGCAGAATGTGCATAGTATAAGCAAAAATTCAATAACAATGTTAAAATTAAAAAATGTTATGCATTACTGAAAATTGCGTCGTCGCCTTATGTTCATGCTCAATACTTTTCAAATAAGATTAAAAACGCATAATTGACAACTTCAATCTGGTAGCCATCTAATAGTAGCGTTCGAAAGAAAAATAATTTTATTTGTAACTAGCTTGGCTTGGGCTTTTTTCTTTTCGTTGGAACTTCAGAATAAAAAGTACATAAAAACAAATATCAAGTCAATCAATCAGCTAGTTTTAATGCTTTGTGGTCGCAAACATATGGAAGCTATTTAGCCTTCAAGATTTATATCTTTTTCCACAATCTGTTGTAAAGTGAATTTTTCCGTTTAATAGTTTCCTCAACAAAAGTTGGTTGGTATGATTTATATCAATATGTTAAATATGCTATAATTAATAAATAATAAATTTATTAATAATCAAAAAATATCAATACAATAGTCCACTCTTTTAAGTATCCAAATTTAAAAGACAATAATTGAAATATACGATGATGTTTTACTTTGACTTTTTTGTACACCATACCAAATAATCTGAAGTTGTCGACTAATGCGTTTCACGATGGCGGCATGCAACATTGACTGTCTCATTTGAAAGGCTTATAGTAGACATCGTCATCACTGATCTATTAGTGCAATGCGTACAAACAGAATATCAGACTTAGGCCCCTATGTATGAGCCCAAACTAAATATTATACAAGAGCTTATTTTGTGTATTTCTTATTCACCTAATCCCTAAATTTACATTGTACTGAATGTCTTAAAATTTCTCAAGTCTTTTTTGTCCTCAACGCCCATACGAACAATAGGTACAGGCATTTCATTTTAATATTTATTATATTAGGACAAGGCAAGATTTTATTGCTTGCATTACTTTAACGACACGAATGCGTTACAAAAATATATCATATGGCACGCACGGACTCCACAAAAAAAGTATAAATAATTGGAATTCATTCGATCTTATTTAATATCATAAAGTAAGCAACTATCTACCAGCTTTACTTCTGGCTTTCTCACTGTAATAAATTAATGTCTTATTTGAGATAGGAAACGTTTTCGTACAGTACAGTACAAATACAAAGGATAAAAGCACTTAGTAACGCGATGTAACAATTGTATATAAACGTTAGACCGACTTGATTTAGAGCACACCAGTTTGATTCCTGACACTTGTGATTGTTTGGGTCAACCACCCTTTAATATCAATTATCGTTATCAACAAGCTATTGACTAACGCGAGATAGCTTAAATTTTAATTATATTAGTTTTAATTATACACCATTATTCTGTGCATCGAGGCGGACACACATGAGTTTGTGAATACAAATCATCATTTTTAAGACAGTGAATTTCAGTCTTAAGGACATATTGATATGACTCCAATGAAAATATTTAACACTCTCTATGCCTAATTGAAGTCTTCGAGAGCGTCCGCTACTGTATACCGGCATAAAAGGGGACGGCATTTACCTTAAAGTGTTTTAAAATTGTAATAACCTATGTGGAATTTATTTTAAGACCCGCGTACCTATATCGGTCTTTATGATGACTTCAAACAATTAATTATTTATGGTTTACATGAGAATCGCCTTCAACAACACCTTAACAAATAGAAATTTACACTTTGCAATAGGCACTTCATTTGTTGGTGCATTTAATGCAACATTATTCCGATTCATTAGACTTTGGTGAGGTTTCATTATTAAATAATCCATTTTTACTATCTATAAAATTGTGATCTCTGCTTCAATGCAGCATCGGTGTCTGGAGCACTTCTATCCATCTGTCGAAAATATAATAATCATGTTATTAATGTTATACTTGAATTAGAAGCTTTTAAATACGAGCCATACATTATATAGGTATTATGAATAATTATTATGTTTATCTACCTCTATTTCATAATAGCGTGCTAAATGTTTAACTGTGGTAGGACCATGCAACAGTGTTTACTGATGCAGGAATGGGCAGATCTATCCGGGTAAGCACAACAACCTCACAGAAGAACGGCGAAAAGTAGAATTGTTATACTTTTGCGTTTCACTTGTTGAGTGAGGTAGCCGGGGCCCACTTTATATAAAGGTGGCAGCGCATTTGCATCTCAATGGGTGTTGCAAATTTCCATAGGCGGCGGTTATGACTTGACGTCAGGTGAACCGCCAGGTCTTTTGCAACTTTCTCGCATAAAAAAAGAAGAAGAAAATACACGAAACATCAGTTAAATATCTATTTATTATTTAATAGTACGCCCTGTTGATATTTGATCAAATTATAAATTTTCAGTGTATTTTTATCAAGTAATTTACGTAAGGGCTTATTCATTCGCAGCAAATCATTTGGGGATTCGAATCATATACTCCCTTCATCTGCAATAGATGTCCATGGGAGGCATTAATTACTTTACATCAGTTGAATCGTCCGTACGTCTGGAGACTTTGAACATAAAAAAATAGATTCCCGCCATTTTTCACGGGCTGAAGGTAGGTATCTTAGATTGTTTTGGGGGTTTACAAAATGCGACGGTTTCCAATTGTTTTTGCTGATATTACAAATACCTTACCTGCTGTAGGTGAAGTGGCTATCCGCCCTGAAGAAGTACACGTGGTTCTTGAACTGCAGCTTGAACACGAACTCTTTGTCGATGCCGTCGTTCGGGCCGATGGAGAGCCCACGCTGTATCTGCAAGCAATGCGAATGCATTTTTTAGAATATCACTTCATATTATAAAACAAAGTCGCCCCGCTCTCTGTCTGTCCCTGTGTATGCTTAGATTTTTAAAACTACGCAACGGTTCTTAATGGGATTTTTTTACTACATAGTGATTCAGAGGAAGGTTTATATGTATAATACATTGCACCCGTGCGAAGCCGGGGCAGGTCGCTAGTCGTTAATAAGTAAATCTCGTCCGTTCACACAATTTGCATAAAAAATCGAGCCCCGGTCATCTCACTCACCCGATGAAACGCGAAAGTTTAATACCCCTTCACTGCAGTTCTGTGAGGCCGTGTTGCCCCGGACGAATGTGTTTAATGACTGTTTAATGCAATAGCTGAAGCTGCCGCGTGGCCTTAATATAACTCAATCGAATAAACGAATGAATAATGGATAAGAAGCGAATATACGTTCCCTTTTATATGCAAAAAAAAAACATTGTGTGGTTTTGATGCAACTGAAACTTTTTTTCGGATCGTACGAATTTAAAAAGAAAATTTTTCAGTTAAAAATTAACATAATTCAAATATCGAGCGTATAAGTGCTACATGGTTAGCTGATACGAGCCATGGGCGCCGGGCGCCGCCATATTGGCCTAGGCTGCTCTGCGGAGCGCCTTTCACTTTACCCTACTCCGCGGCCGGTTGAAATGCGACATGCGATAGATGGACGGAGAAATTTGAGGCGATGCTAAAGGTTTCGCTTTAAAAGATATAGAATATATCTTTCTACTTACCCTAGTAGGGGCAGCGACGCCAGGGGCGTCTCATCCTGCCAGCTCTTGTAGAAGAACAGCGTGAAAGCGGCGAACACCACCCAAAGCTTCTGCCAGCCGTGCGAGTTCTTGAACTTGCGCAGCAAGTAGCCCGAAAGTTGGGTCTGTAAATTAAATGTCTAATAATTTCGATCGCAAAAAAAATATAACAATATTAAATTTGTGAAGAGTTATTATGTATTTTAAAGTGTTTTGTAGTACTAATCTCTGCACTTAAGATTTAACATTAAAACATGTAGAAAAAGTACGAAAAGATTGTCGCCGCTGTGGGAATCGAACCCACGTCTTCGGCATTCGCGGCCTGACGCTCTAGCCACTGAGCTGAACCGCTGATAGCCACAGCGCCGAAAATCTTAACGCCTTCTTTGTACATTGTTATTTAGCATTTGAAGCAATGCTTGGCGCATCTATTGTTATATCCTTTCCAGCATACAAACAATTTCGAATATCGTTTTACAACGATAATTCGAACGAGAGATGTCGCCATTGCTTTTTATAAACATTTTTATAAGCGTTAAGATTTTCGGCGCTGTGGCTATCAGCCGTTCAGCTCAGTGGCTAGAGCGTCAGGCCGCGAATGCCGAAGACGTGGGTTCGATTCCCACAGCGGCGACAATCTTTTCGTACTTTTTCTACATGTTTTAATAGAGTTATTATGTATTAATGTTAAACAAAAGTACCAGAAGAAAAAACAATTCTTCTAAAATTTACGTAGAACGTTTTAAAGATGACCTATTACGGCTTATTTTAATGGAATTTTGCTCACGATGGAATTGATTTCAAGAATTAATCTAACGTTAAACAGTGAGCACCGAAAGACTTACAATTACTTGTAATCACTACAATTCCTCTTTACTGCACATTTAAAAGCGGGGTTTACAAAAAAATACTTGACTAATGGTGATTACAAAGGGCCATTTGGCGATATTTGAGGATACGCACGCCCAACGGTGATATGTGGTGGACAAGTGATTTTAACTATAATCATGATGATGATGACGATGGCGATGGCGGTGATTTAACGTGTGGTGAACGGTTGCCGCACCCTCATTGCCAGGTTGAGGTGGTGCCTTGTGAGCGACGCGTTCCGGTGCCAGCACACGAAGGCGAGCGCTCCCCCCGCGCCCGTCGAGCCCGCACCGCCCGATTCCGGACCTAAATAATAAATAAATGAATATTTTAGGGCACTGTTATTTCTTCACAATGTTCTCCAGTCCCAAACTAAGCAACGCTTGTAATACGGGTACTAGATCACTGATAAATATACTTAAACAAACTTTTCTTTTGTAAATAAATATATATTATACATAAGTATTAAATTAAATTTACTGCTTCCTTATATTAGGAAGCAGCAAATTTAAGCCCTTATTGATTATACGAATGATTGGGAGATCGCTACAGCTATTATAAAATAGTGATATACTTTTCTACTTTTAATTATTATACTTTGACAAACTGAATGGCGTTGTGGGTAGTGTACCTGCCTCCTGCGTTAGAAGGTTCAATCTCCACTACTGGAAAAATATTGTGTGATGTTGTGTTTTTTTCCTGTCTGGGTAGTCTTTACAGTCGCAACAATAAATGAACACACATATAGGGGATACCTTTTTAAAATTGTATTAAACATTTACATTCTTTAAACATCAATATTTACAGAGTTATTAAATTTTCCAAAACAAAGAATTTTAGAACATCCTTACGTATAAAACTGTAACGTAAAGTTCATTTAAAAGGTCACAAAGCATATGAATGGGTTGAATGAATTTAAAAGAGACAAAACATACTGTTAGAAGGAGAGGCTTGTAATGCGACGTTGTGGCGGGTGTTGTATAGGATGTTACAAATTTTGTTTCTTTTTTACTTAATTAGTTTGTTTGAAAATTATTTTTTTTTAATTATGGATTTTGTTTAACTTTATAGTTTTTTTATGATTATTGGCAAGTAGCGTTAGACATGTGTTCATTTATTGTCGCGATGGTAACGACACGCTGTATATGTATAATATGTATTTTAATAAATAAATAAATATTTTAGGACACATATTATATAATACATAGTACAAGTGTTGCTTAGTTTGGGACTAGAGTAAAAATGTATCCTAAAATATTTATTATATTTATTACAATATTATTATACAAACAATATTCCACTGCTGGGCAAAGACCTCTTCTGTACAGAAGGTATCAGGGCATTGTCCAGCACGCGACCTCACTGCGGATTGACGGACTGGACTTCAAATATCATCGAAAAATGATTTTTTCTTATTTCGAAAATATGCAGGATCCTCCCTATTTTTTCTTCACCGCTGCACTACACGTGATGAGTCAGCACTTAAAATTAACAATTTTCATTTGTGCCGACACCGAGGATCGAACTCGGGTTGATAGAGCATATTGAATTGAAAGCGAGCGCCCGGACCAGTGAGCTATCACGGCACTACATAAGTACAAACACGGGTGGTCTATTTTTAAATAAACTTCGGCCTTGCCGCTGTGGGCACGAGGGCGATATCGCCGTGGCGTGGTGGGTGTCACCCACCGTCCGCGCGGCAGCCGCTGAGCTCGGCGTCCACGTGCGTGGGCCGCTCGCGCGCGCGCTCGATGGCGGCCGCGAACGCCTCGCACCAGCCCGCGCACTCGGGCTCGCCGCCCGCGCTCAGCGTCACGCACGCCTCGGGCCCTGTGGGGAGGGGTGACGATTAGGTGACGTCACGCCGCGGCGACGTCACGGCTCGGCGCGACGACGTCAACGGAGCGAACGCGCTCGGACAAAGAGAGCAATGGAGACGTCGTTCTACTAAATGAATTGGGGTAAACGTCCAGCAGCTGTGGCGTCGGTATAGAACGCACCAGGTCAATTTTCCGACAACTGTGATATTATTATGGGATAGTATTTGAGTATTTAATTGGACAAAACATTTAGAAAACCTCAATTATTACAGCAATGTTAATTTATATTTCTTTTAATAATTTAGTTATGGAATATGACATTGTGTAGTCCATTATACCATCAGTAATTATGAGACATTGTTGTTTAAGTATTCAGGGTTCCGTAGCTCTCAGCAGGCATCTCAGCTTCATAGACATATCACGAGAGTATCTCTGATTATTTGAGGCTTTACAGATTAAATCAAATATGATTTAAAGCAAATCTTTTTCGTTAAAAATCGAAGAGCATTCGATCGGATGGATTGAACGCTTCTCGGAGGCTTCACTGCCAATGCCCTTCGTACCGGAAAGCGTGAAGGAGTGCGGCAAGTCGGCGGGCAGAAGCTGCAGCTGGTGGAGTGGCATCACGAGGTGCGCGCGGAACTGGCAGCTGGACCACTTGGAAGCGACCACCAACAGGTCGCTGAACTGCAAACGGTTAACATCGATGTCAATTGACTAGTCAGAAAGAAAGAAAGAAAGAAAGAAAGAAAGAAAGAAAGAAAGAAAGAAAGAAAGAAAAAAATTATTGCACTAAATACGCCACATGTACATTTAAATATAAGTCAGATGACAAGTGCTTGTTAAGTGTAACAACACTCGACTACAACTTTGTAACGTCAACTGCTTACATATTACCCCCAATTTAGGTTGTCTCTATTTTAGCTTGCTGATGAAAATATACACTTAATTACCTTAATTTCCCTCCTTCCACAATTAGCAAATTAAAAATGTATTTCAATTTTAACCGTTATGTACACGTATAAAATAATAACAAAATCAATTGTTCCACGAATGGGCAAGTCCATCCGGGTAAGTACCACAACCCTACAGAAGACCGGCGCGAAGTAGATGTTGGTGTCATACTTCTGCGTTTTGGCTGGTGAGTGAGGTAGCCCGAGCCACCTTTAAAAGGTGGCAACGCATCTGCAATCCTACGGGTGTTGCAAATGTTCACAGGCGGCGGTTATCACTTAACATCAGATGAACCGCCAGTTCGCTTGCCACCTTCTCACATAAAAAAATTATGATACAATAAATTCAACAAAATAGAGACTAATCATCCCACCAAGAATAGCATCCGTTGCTGAAGACCTCTTGCCGAGTGCTTGTACAGACATCCAAGCCGGATGAACTCACGCTCTGCTACCAGCAGCTTGTCGTAACCTGCAAAGTCAAAACTACGTTATTATAAAACACTTTCTTAACATCCTTAATAATTTTTTTCAGTTTAAGCTTGTTACCAGTTCGTATGAATATACAAATCTATGATTTTCTTTCAGTTAAAAAAAAGTCATATCGTTTCGTCATCAACTTTTTCAACAGCATTTGATGTTCAAGAAGTTTTTCATTTGACAGTTTTTATTGGTTACCATGGTAAGGTTTGGGTTTCACCACACCAAACGCCCCAAAAGAAATGTAACTTCAAAAAGTATCTGCGTGCGTGCATGTGTGAGTTCGTGTATGTGTGCGTGCGTGTATACGTGTTCATGTCAGTGCGTGTATGTGTGAGTGCGTGTATCTGTTAGTGCGAGTATGTATGCGCGTGCGTATATGTGTGAGTGCGTGTATCTGTTAGTGCGAGTATGTATGCGCGTGCGTATATGTGTGAGTGCGTGTATGTGTCAGTGCGTATTTGTGTGGGTGCGTGTACGTGTCAGGGCGTTTATGTGCCCAATGTATGTATTCGTGAGTGCGTGCACTGACCGACGAGGTCGCGCTGCACCTGGCAGAGGGCGCTGTGGTTCCTCGACGTGGGGCAGCTGCTGCAGCGCGAGGGCAGCCATGCCCGTCGCCAGCTCGAGCGCGGCGTGTGCGCGCGCGCTGCCGGTGCCCACGGATAGCTCTGCCAGAAACGAGTATCTCCGTTCACTACTCTCCTCTTAAACGCGTCTCAACTACTACGGACTTAAGCGTACTAGCTATAGCAACGATAGTGGCTATAGCTAGTGGTTAAAGCTATTCCATTTGTTACTGATGTTATGTTTTTAATGTCCAAGTTCTCAGGCGACGATTTAATGATTGAACGAGAATTAAGTGTGAAATATCAATCACACTTTACCCATAGAGAAAGTGAAAGACTGCAATCGCGCGTGGGCACTGTTATCTATTGCTAAGCCGATAAAGTCGAGAATGTCATGCGCGAGCCGCTTTATATGCAGCGGGAGCGCCCTTCATTTCTCATTTAAACAATGTTCTCTATCGCTAACCGACTAGTGTCGAGATTACCGTGCGCGAGCCACTTCAGTTGCAGCGGACGCGCCCTTCGTTCGTCATTGGACAATGTCCTCTATCGCCAAGCGCATAGGGTCGAGATTACCGTGCGCGAGCCACTTCAGTGGCAGCGGACGCGCCCTTCGTTCGTCATTGGACAATGTCCTCTATCGCCAAGCGCATAGGGTCGAGATTACCGTGCGCGAGCCACTTCAGTGGCAGCGGACGCGCCCTTCGTTCGTCATTGGACAATGTCCTCTATCGCCAAGCGCATAGGGTCGAGATTACCGTGCGCGAGCCGCCTCAGGTGCAGCGCGCGGTGCAGCGGGCGCAGCAGCAGCGTGGCCAGGGGCAGCGGCGCCGCCGCGTCGAACTCGGCAGCCGCGCGCGCCCCCGCCCCGCCCCGCCGCCGCGCGCTCTCCACCAACGCCACCAGCGCGCCCACGCCCAGAGCGTACTGCTCGTATGCCTGTACGATGAGAAACGACCATTTCTTATTCATTTAATTATGATTGTGAAAAGTTGCCAAACGAGCAGACGGTTCACCTGATGGTAAGTGACTACCGCCGCCCATGGACATCTGCTACACCCTGCGATGTGTTGACACAATTGACCTGTTGAAAATTGGGCTCCGGCTACCTCACTCACCCAGACGAAACGCAAAAGTATTTGTCATACTTCCACTTTACGCTGGTCTTCTGTGAAGTTACGTGGTACTTACCCGGACGGGCCTGCCCATTCGTGCAACAGCCGAGGCTGCTGCGTGGCCCTACCACCGTAGCGTGGCCCTACCACCGTACTTGCTTTTCTACTTATTGCTACTTTCTTTTTATTATTTATTTATTTTTTAATCCCTTCATGTACATCCTATCCATCAACAATTCCTTTTGATAAATTTCTGAAGTTGCTTGGAAGAAATTGCTGTGTAGCAATTTCTTTTCCGCCTTTTGATGACCAATATTTGATAAATATTTTATTTTTTGTACTTTTTTATTTTATTTTTATTTTTTGGTGTACAATAAAGTATTATATTATTATTATAGGTTAATTTTCATTTTCAGTGCTAGTCGCTGCGCTCGAGATGAAACTTCACATTGTAATTGTTTGTACGTGAATGAATCAAAAAATTTTCGGAGCTGTGTCTTCCGCGGTTTCGCGCCCAGACGCTATTTGTAAAAGCGGATATTATAAGAGAGTAATCAGCAGCCCATATATGTCTGTGCCACGGCGAAGAAATACATTGTGAGGAACCAACATAATATACACAAAATGATTAAGCAAAATATTTCGAATAAAGTCTGTCAATCTGGACTGAGCTCGCGCGACCTGTAACGAAAGGAATTTGTCCAGAGGTGAATCAAATACATATATAAATCGGCGTAGCTGAAACTACCTTATCGCAATAAAAGTAGTATGGCACTTATAAAAGATGTACTTTACCCTGTCTCCCTGCCCTTCTTATCTCACCTAGATGGGCTCAGCAAAACGTTTAATAATTGTTAATCACGGGTTTTTACGAATATCCATTGGCCTAACGTCAACCCGTCTTAGGAATAAACACCCAAATCCGAAACAATTATCTATGGGTCACACAATTACTTTTCCCGTGTGGAAATCGTACCTACAAACCGCAACGCCGAAGCGAACACCTTCATCATTTTCCATAATTTTTATAGTTACGGTTATGTACTTACATCGTAAATGTTTGACAAATAGTCGTACAGCAGGTCTGCAATTTTCTTGTACTCCGGCTCTTCGTTATCTAAATAAAAAAAAAGTTAATTAACACCACAGTTTCAACAAATTATCTCCGTTTTGGGTACGCAAGCCTTTACAACATAATAGTGTAGCATCGAAAAAACCTAATCTACTTTCGTCTATTACAAGCGTCTCTATAGCAAGCATCAACAACGAATAATTGAAAATATAACATTATAAGAAGATTGTAAAACACTTGATACATCAAACGTCAGAACTGCATAAGTATTGTCTACAATGCATAGAAAAAATCAAAATCCAAATCAAAAACATATTTATTCACATAGACGCTTGCGCGTTCTTATGAAATGTCAAACATTTTACATAAAAATTAAAAATATTCGTAAGTTACCACCGGTTCGAAAAGCAGTTTCTGTTGAGAAGAAACCGGCAAGAAACTCAACAGTTGCTCTATTTTAAAACGATTAGTTTACAATAGAAAGAAACAGTTATCTCAAGTAACGAGCTGAGGAGAACCATTAAACTAGTGAACATGAATATTTTAAATTGTAAAACAAAAGTCTCTTTGCAAATGTTTAATTAATCTTTATAAAACATTAAAATCACCATGCCAATTTATAAACAGCGATTATATAATAATATATAATAATATATAAATATATATACATATATTAATCTGCTTTTAAAGTACCATCATAGAACGGCGGCAAGAAAGTGGTCAGCAGGCAATCAAAACTCGTCCGCAGCTCTTGGAGAAATAAACACATCTTCATTTAATTGTATATTTGTAATAATAATAAAAAATCATATATTAATTACCCATTTGCTACAATCTACAGGGCAGATAACTATGGGAAGTTAATAACACGCCACTTGAATGCACCTTGACGGGATGGAGACAATGAATAAATTTACCCCATAAACTAAAATTGATGTATAAAGATAGCGCTCTCATAAAGAGATAGATGCTATTTAAATAACTTCCTTACACCAACAGAAATAAGATCGAGAACAGCTGCAGCGTGCATTCTGAAATACACCGTCACACGTGTGCCATTCAAATAAGGACTTTAATAGCATGGCACACGGTCGAGGAGCTTAGAAGACCGCAGCGAACGTTGTCACGTGTGCCATTCAAATAAGGACTTTAACATCATGGCACATAGTTGAACGGAGAATAGAACACGGCAACGAGCGTCGACACGCGTGCCATTCAAATAAGTACTTTAACAGCATGTCACAAGGTAGAGATGAGAAAAGAACACTGCAGCAAACGCTCTATAATGCGTGCCATTCAAATAAGGACTTTAACATCATGGCACACAGTTGAACGGAGAATAGAACACGGCAACGAGCGTCGACACGCGTGCCATTCAAATAAGTACTTTGACAGCATGTCACAAGGTAGAGATGAGAAAAGAACACTGCAGCAAACGCTCTATAATGCGTGCCATTCAAATAAGGACTTTAACATTATGGCACACAGTTGAACGGAGAATAGAACACGGCAACGAGCGTCGTCACGCGTGCCATTCAAATAAGTACTTTAACAGCATGTCACAAGGTAGAGATGAGAAAAGAACACTGAAGCAAGCGGTCTATAACGCGTGCCATTGAAATAAGGACTTTAATATCATGGCACACAGCCGAGACGAGAATAGCCGGCACGTGAGCCATCGAAATAAGGACTCTAAGCGATGGACATAAGGCACATAATTCGCACGCACCGTGACGGGCGTGCGGGGCGGCGGCGGCGAGCGCGCGGTCCAGCCTGGCGAGCAGCGCGCCGGCGGGCAGCGCGAGCGGCTCGAGCGCGAGGCAGCCGCGCGCCAAAGCGCTCGCCTCCGCGCCCTCCGCGCCCGAGCACGCCACGCGGCCCACGTGGCGCGACCACGTCTGCGATTCGAGCGAAGGTATACTACCCTATTGTAGTCGATCGTGACCCTGTGACCTGACCGATAGGGTGTGGGTTCGATGCCCGCCACTGTAAAGTCTTGTGTAATGAACATAGGATTTTTCTAGCGCATTTTACATATCTATAGCACTCAATAAATAAAGTATTTATTTAGTGCGTTTAAGTATGTTTAACAGCTTTCTAGTACCCATAGTACAAGCTTTTGCTTAGTTTGGGATTGGATAATAACTTATTTATTTGTTTACTTGAGCCGTGATAGCTTTGTGTCCGGGCGCTCGCCTTTAATTCGAGATACTCGAGAAACCCCGAGTTCGATCCCCGGTGCCGGCGCCAATGAAATTGTTAATTTTAAGTGCCGAATTATCACGCGCTCAACGGTGCAGGAAAACGTCGTGAAGAAACCTGTATATTTTCGAAGTAATAACAAAAAAATATTTCGAAAATATGTGAAGTCCGCCAATCAGCAGTGGGGCCGCGTGGTGGACTATGCCCTAATATTCTCTGTACAAAGGAGGCCTTTGCCCAGCTGTGGGACATGTATAGGCTTTACTTTTTTTGTTTACTTTATATGTTGTACTGCTGGGTAAAGGCTTCGTCTGTACAGGGGTTATTAGGGCATAGTCAACCGCGCGAACGCACTGCGGATTGGTAGACTACACATATCTTTGAAATATTTTTGTTCTGTTAGCATTTAAAAAATATGCAGGTTTCCTCACGATGTTCTCCTTCACCGCTGAGCACGTGCTAAGTCTTAACTTAAAATCAACACTTTCATTCGTTAAACGCGGAAATATAAAAATTCCACTTCACGCCGTTCTTCTGTGAGGTTGTGGTACTTGCCCGGGCGGACCTACCCATTCGTGCAACACAGTAAACTTTTGCGTGGACTCTACCAACGTAAAACGTGGCGATGAGCCGGAAGAAAGGGGGAGAAACCCAAATAGATCAAATCATTGTCCATGAAGAGTTTAATAGTACAATGGCTACTCACAACGGTGACGAGCTCCAGGTCGCGTTTGTACGTGCGCTCGGTCATCAGCAGCTCCTTGGCAACGAAGTACGTGACGTCACCGCGCCGCCTCTGCGCCTCGCCCGCGTAGGCGATTCTCGAAGATATACTGATACGTGAATAAAATTGTAAATTAATAATAATTTCCTACGAATTCTTATTAATGTAATCATCGTCACCCACCCGCCCTTATCCCACCTTGGTGGGGTCACGACTGGCGAGTCATGTTGTAAGCGGTTTTGACTATATTTATTACGAACCGCCTAATGTCAACCCTCCTTGGATAATAAACCAGGTAAATAACGTTAAAATAATAAACCAAAAACACATTGAACCCCCCCCCCCCCCCCCCCCCCCCATCCAGTTACCATATTCACTATAGGAAACCATTTAAACCTACATCCAATTAATGATCTTATATGATAAATGGCCACGGCATCGTGTATGGTGAGTTTCAACTTTCTCCTAAGTGGTGGTGGTAGGGTTGACAAGAAAATTTTAAAAAGTAGTTTTAAATAAACTTATTGGTTGTGTCAAGTCAAAACAATAAACGTTATAGGTACCTGTTATTGTTCCGCCTAGACAAGGTGTCACCGGCGTCGCTCTCCCCGCCACTGAGGACGTCCATACTGTTTGTAGACTCCGACACAATGTGCACTGTATTCAAATAAACACGAACGATTGTTAATCTAAAATCCAAATCGTATTTTTCTTAATGTGAGAAAGTGTCAAACGAGCTGGCGGTTCACCTGATGTTAAGTGATAACCGCCTACCCGTGGACATTTGCAGCATCCGTCGGGTTGCAGATGCGTTGCCACCTCTTACTAATGTGGGCCCCGGCTAAACTCATCAGACGAAACGCAGAAGTGCAACACTTCTACTTCACGCCGGTCTTCCGTGAGGTCGTGGTACTAACCCGGACGGACCTGCCCATTCGTGCAACAGCGAAAACTGTTGTGTGGCCCTAACACCGAAAAGCACCGTATACGAGAACTACATTGAGAAATAGTTACTATAAACACACCCAAGAAAGACAAATACGTGAATATCAATTAAAATAACCTCCGAATGGGCAGGTCCGTCCGGGGAAGTACAACAACCTCATAGAGTACCAACGTGAGGTGGAAGTGTTATGTCTCCTGCGTTTCGTCTAGTGAGTGAGGTAGCCGGAGCCGACTTTATTAAAAAGTGGCAATGCATACAACGGGTGTCGCAAATGTCCATGGGCGGCGGTTATCACTTAACAACAGCTGATACGCCAGCTCGCTTTCCACCTTCTCACATAAAAAAGAAAGCTCGCCAATCGGCAGCGTGGTCGCGCGGTGGACAGAAGAGGACTTAGCCCAGCGGTGGGACTAACATAGGCTATTAATTCATTATTTTACGGAGCTCAAAGGGCGATAGTACCGTTCACGTTGCCGTTGATCGTGTCGCAGCTGTCGACGCGCCGCCTCTCGCGGTTGTCCAACGCGTCGTAGCCGTTGTGCAGACGGCCGCCGTACGGTGTGGAGGCGCACAGTGGGACGACGCCATTGTCGCTCGGCGACATGCAGAGGCTCGCCGAGGAAACCGTGTGCTCGTCCTCAGGCGACGCGTCGTCTGCGAGCGGAGGATAACAACGGTAAGGTTCACTGGAATTACAACAGTTTTAGAGCTACAACCGTAAGCTGAGAATTACAACAGTTGGCGTGACGGAGAAGGGACGACAGCGACACGTATTTTTTTTTAATATGGAGCGTTTCAGCGAGCGCAGAGGGCGTTGCAACCGTCGGCGTGACGGAGAAGGAATCGACGACATGACAAGTATTAAAAAATAAACGGTAACCGCCGCCCACGTTGCAACACCCGTAGGGCTGCAGTTGGGTTGCAACCTTTCAATAAAGTGGGCCCGGCTCTTGATATCACTCACCAGACGAAACGCAGACGTGTGGCACTTCCCCAGACGGACCTGCCCATTCGTGCAATAGCGAAGACTGTTGCGTGACCTAACCACAATAAAATTGACCTTGACGATGCGTTTTTGACCTTGGTTTCGGACACACCGCTGATATTTGGGACTGTGATAGGTTTTTTGTTCAAAAATTCATTTCAACAAAAACTCGTTCTCGCAAATCGAAAATGTCCTAACACTTCGACAACAGATAAAATTTTTAAGATTTAGATGTTTGCTTGGGACTCTGCTTAGAGTGATGAACCCTGAATAAATAAATCGTTTACATTAATTAACCCCGGGGGTATTTCCGAAATAGGGGGGCAAAAACGCTCTGTCAACACTAGATGTGACAACGGTAGACGTCAATTTTTTACCACGTAAGCAAACATAACATATCAAATTAATTTAGAGATATATTTTTAAACATAGAACATCATTATCAAAAACTAAAATAGAAACAGTTATGGCTTTTTAAGTTGAAAATTGACGTGAACCAACTGTACAATCTTAAATAAGATAATTGAAAATAAAAATAGAACGAACAAAACCTAAATTGGCAACATAACAAACATTTTCATGGTAATAAAACTATAATAATATCTAAAACATGTAACAAAATTTATAAAACATATTTCAAAACAATAAATAACGTAAAAAAGGAAAAATAATAAGGTTCGTTTTAACGCAAACATAAGACAATAAAATGTGTTCATATCAAGATAATTCGAAAAATGTGTGTAGAAATAACATAACTGAAAAAAATTATCGATTAATTAAAAAAAATAAGTTATTGATATTTCAATTAGAAACTTACATGTTACTTCCTTGCAGCTTTCAAAATCTTTAAATACTCAGGGTAAATTTAACCAAAAAGAAAACTTCCAATAAACAAAAACAAAAGTCGAATGAAAATACACAATGTTTCATATTTATTTATTCGTTTAACTATCCCCAACATCAAGGGGCATTATTGCGTACACTTACATATGGAATCCAAAAAAAGGAAGTAACATTCGAAATTTCCGAAACAATATTCAACATACGACGAGACGACGTAAATTAAAATTTCGAATACGACGAATTAGATTACAGTCTATTCGGGTTGTACAATCTCAATCGAAAAGTCGAAGTACTTAAATACTATGAATTTCATACCGTAACGTTTATTGCACTAGCTAAGGAGGGGCCGCCCTCATATACCTAATAGTCTAAGATTGCTTCGCGCACACGACCTCGTACAATATTTGCATTAGTTCCAGCCTCAATTGAACACCGCAGCCAGTGGATAAATTGGGAATTGGCAGTGGAGTATATTTTACGAGGCATTTCAAACTAGGTAAGAACGGCTAAATAATATATTGCCAACGTTATTGCAGCAATGTTAAAGACAATCTTAAACTTTTATTATAACAAAAACAACAACTAATAATGAATACTCCATAAAAAAAGTTATGAAATAAGTGTTATTTCCAAAATCATTCTAAATGATGAACTTTAACAGTCGTTTTAAAAGATTGCAACAGATTGATTTAACAAAGTGATTTCCTGTTGATATAACCACCATAATTTTTGCCTTGTGTGTGGCAACCAATTACAAGAAATTGAAATGTAAAAAAAAAAGACTACAAGCAGCTAAATATGAAATCCTATAACAAAATTGCTGTATCTGTTAAACGAGGTTGACAAAAACTTCAAGTGCATCAAGTACTGATTAACAATTAAGTAAATCGGAATCGCACAAATTTGATTGATATTATTGAAACGAAGGAAAGAATTGCAATTCCTTACTTTGTCTCATTTATATAATTGGATGATAACTGATAACCTTAAAAGCTATTTTAGTAACATCTAATAGAATAATTTAAACTAATATAAAAATGGATAAATTATAAAACTATCTAATTTGGCCAAATAAATAAATGCGTATGGTCAATTGACAATAGGTCTGGTTAACACACAATTCATATGAAATATAAGCGTGAGGACAAATAAGACATCAAAAAGGCAAATAGATCAGTCCCAACAAATGTGCGCATAGGATTCTTAACAAAAATATTTCAACTTATAAAGCGAGAATATATTCTAATATTGGTAGATTTACTAAATATTGTGTTCAATTGACTTGGAAATGTAAATATTGTTAACTTACATTAAACCATAAACACTATGTGAATAAAATTACAATCAACAATGTTAATAACGAAATATTTTCTTTAATTAATAATAGTCAATAAAACATAGATTAAAAGTTAAAATTCGTTTAACGGTAATGGAAGATAACAGAAACATAATTTCTGCAGTCTTAAAGCACTCAAAAACACGGAAATATAATTCTTATTTGGAATATTTCCAAACATTTATACGGTATCCATATATTATGCTAAAACTAGGAGTCTCATAATTATGAAAACAAAAGAAACATGACTTGCCGACAAACTTGCGTCATTTGTGACAAATACAATTTTGTCATATTTTTTTTTATTATTGAACCAAGTAACACGAACAAGAAACATTAATATTTTATTTTCTAATAGTCTAATATTATTAGTTAATGTTCAAATTCACCAAATGGCATGGTGTGTAAAACATGCTTTGAACAACTGATATTTCAATATATAGAGAATTGTTTTTCCTATCGATGGGAACAAAGAAAGGTCGTCGTTATAAAATCAATTCATCTGACTAAGTTGAGCTAATATTTCCAATAAAATAATGAGTCAAATTACCATCTAAAAGGCAATGCCTGCATTTTTTAAATGTAAGTTTATTTTAGTGGAATATTAAATAATTAACCATTTATTCTACGGGGTCTGAGCTTTTGTTTTAAAATACTTTGAATTGTTTATAGCAAATATGTATCTCGGTTTCTATTGCAAATACGTCAAAACTGATTTAGGATAATATTATAGAAAAATTTTGACTACTATATTTTTTACTTGAATTTTTTTTTCATCTTTTTCCTTTTTTAAGATATTTTGAAAAAGTGAATTTTGGGGAAGTTTTAAATTAATTTCTACTTCACCTTTATTAATCACAATTCTTTTAAATGTATGGTAAAATGAACTTACATGAAAAATCCTAGCTTGCCTTTTAGATAGTAGTTTGACAAGTCATTATATTAGACTATAAGGTTAATCGACAAAGTTTGAATTAATCTAAACACTAAACAGTTAAACTAACAGAATCTGCTGCTATTGTTACAAGTGGTTTTTAGCTTGTTCAGAGTCGCATTAAGTCTATATTAAATGGATTAAAGCCTTTTTTTAAGGGCAAAATTACAATTTGTTCCATTCAAATCTCACGCCATACATTATAACTATTTTAACACGAACCTCGCCAAAAATGAATCTATGTTGACATAATAAAACAAATCTTAAAGCTATTCTGCACAAAGTTTTCGATGCCAAACTATTTTTATATGTTGTTACAAAATACCAAAATGTTGTCGAATACTTACTGTCGTACATAAATGGAATAAGAAAAAACGGCTTAGAAACGTCTTAAATGTGGATTAAAATTGAGCATATTTGGCACGATTACATTTCAACATTTCGTTACAGAGAGATGTAAAGCGTTAAATTATTTTTTTAAGACGACGTTTACAATAATTTATTATAACAATAAATCCAAGGGATGTTCGATCACGTCAAAACTAAAGAACAGATCTTGGATCCTAATACACAAAGTAAATCACAGCCTTTACATTTAATACTATTTGGATGAATAGAACATATAGGGAAAACATACACTTGCACGGACAGTTAGGAAAGAGTATGTAACTTGTGTACATTCAGATTTTCCAACAAAATGCATTAGACATTTACTCATGTCAAATCAACTGCAATTCATTATTACCGTATACCGCATTTAATGTAGGTACGAGCAAGTGTGTTCACCCAGTATGCAGCGTGTTGGAAATATTTAGTATCGCAAAGAGAATTTGGCACTATTCGAAGTACCGACACGTTACCACGATGCTTTAGCCCTAAGGTAAACCAGACTAAGACAACAAAATCTTCCAGCAAGTTGCGATATCAACTATAACTGCTCACGGGTGTGATTGATTGAGATCAGTACACATTCAACTATATCTAAAGACGTTGTTATCTACAAGTATAATACAGCGTTAAGGATCACACAAGAGACTTAGGGGTCACGCTACCCGGGATTGCCATTATATATAAAGGTATATATAGACGCTAAATATTCAAAGTGACAATGTAGATATTTATTTTAATAATTATTCTAATATCAAATATCAATATAACAATTAATTGTGTTGTTTAGAATATAGATTTTGAAACGCAGACGAAACTCGCACGCAAAAGACCACACCATCTATCCGACAACAGACGTTGACCTAATAATTTAATCGTTTTAATCATTCTCTTCATCGGAACAGAGAGGCGGTGGAAGCGTGGACACGTCAAATTTCTGTTCGGGGCTGTCGCTAGAAGCTTGCGAGTCGACGTAATGACTAGAATAGAATCTCTCCACGTTATTTAGACTAAAACGTTGGTCCAGATCTCTACTGAACCGCTCCTGATTGGCCTCCCTGCTCTCCAACATATCTTGCTCGTACTGAGGATAGCATTCCTGCGTTTGGAACATATCCATTTCATCGTAACGCTCCGGGTACGGGCTGCCTCTATACTCCTCGTATTCATCTTTGCCCTGCGCCAGTTCAGTGTCCGAATAAGCGACTGCCTCGCGGTCAAACATGTAGCTGCCTGGTTTGGTCGGTTTCGGTGCCCTTTTTATAGTGTCTATAGGGTACGCGTAATCATCTGAGTCGTCCCTGTCGCTGTTCTCGTCATAAAATTTGGTTCGTTGACCCGAAGGCTCGCCGACCGCCTTATCGTCGGACTGTCGGAACAGAGGCGAGGATTTCATTTTCTTGAGCGATGACTGGCGACTACTCTTGTTCGAGTACGAGGTTCGCGGCGGGCTGTCGTCGGGAACGTATGACGGCTCCTGGGAGTCGAGATACGGATGACGTAAGCGGCCAAGCCTATCGAATCGCGGGAAGCCCATTTCGTCCTCGTCTGCTGACGACCCGAACCCTTGGAACTTGACCGGCGTGATGCTGATGGGGAACTTCTGTGGTTCGTACGGCGCGCTTTTGTATTGAGCTGTAAACTCGACTTGCTCGTCATCTTCGGAATAGCTGATGGGTTCTTGAGTGTCTTTCGCTTCGGAGGAACCAGATTCCACTTCGGGTAAATAGCTATCGGAGCACTCCGAGCTTTCTATGCGCCGTACATTATCTTCCACGGTCAGGTACATACCTCCGTGAAGTTTGTCGCTCTCAGAGGAACATTGGCTTTTTGTGGAGTCCTCCTCTAGAACGTCCTGTATTCTTTCATGACGTTTCCGCGCACCAGCTACCGGTTTCTTGCGTCTAAATGTTCTCATTCTTTCTCTAGGGTCCCTTATAACATCAAGCGAACTATCCGTATCATTACCACTAGGTGGACTCTTCAACGAAATGTTTCTAACTAATAGAGATTTTTTCACGGGCGCTTTTAATGGTTGAATAGGTGGTGATTCTGAACTGAGGCTGCTCGAATAGTACGGAGAGCATCTGGAAAGAGGGGTTTTTCCAGATCTTTCACCTGATTTCTTTTCTTGCAATTCCTTGTGGACCAACGGTATTTCTGGTACAGTTATTATGGGTAACTCGGAAGACGTTGACAAATAATGTTCGTGGAATGACCAACTTTTCGGTTTACTACGGTATTGCTGAGATATCTTATATTCTTTTATTTGATTCTTTGATAAAGTTTTATCATCGTAGCTAGCGTGTTTTGCCAATGGCTTATAATCGGAACGAACAAACTGATGGCCTAGGTCTTCGCGTATAATATTAGAAAATTCTTGGCTTTGATACCGTTCACTGTGCTTTTCTTCTTGGCTGTATAGCTGTGACGGCATATCGATATCAATCTCCGGCTGCGATCCGACTGAATAAGGTTTAAAATCACTATCTTCACTTTGACAACGTGTTGCTGGTTGTATATGCCTACGAGTCTGCTCCTCATAACTTAAGCTCTTTGGCGGCGTTTTTAGGTACCGCTCATGGGTTTTGTCTTGTGGATGTTGAAATCCCTTTAATCGCTGATCGAACCTCAAAATTCCATTAGTATGTTTTTGTAGACTGCTTATCGAGCTAGAACTGGATTTGTCAGACTTGTCACTGTAACTTATTGAAGAACTTTTATCATTCTTCTCTGAATACGATGCCGTTAATCTAAGAACAGGCTCTTTAACATCACTGGATGCTATAGGTGACTCACATTTTGGTATTGGCGTCTTAACTTCAACGTTTTCTTCACATTTTGACGGCGAGGCCGCCGCAAATTTTTCCGTACATTTTGTTTCCTCCACCTCATTTTGGTCCTCACGAGCGGTAGCAACTAGTGTGTGACTGGTGCTTGCTGACCACTCAGATATCGACTGGGCTAAAGTTAAAGTGCTATCGCTTTTAGTACCGGAACTACTATCAATTCCTTTTCGTGAAACAGTAGTATCAGAACTGCACAATTTGTCATATTTAATATTGTCAGAACTTTTGTCTATGCTACTGCTTTTCGAACTGGCTTCAACTTTTGGTTTATGCTCCGACTTTTTACTTGCTTGCGTAGATGAATATAATTTAGCGACCGCATTTTCTGACTTGTCACTTTTCGGAATGGATATCGCAGATACACTCTCTGAAGCTGAAAGATTAGCATACTGACGAACGGTATTGGTCCCTGTTGACCATTCTGATATACTTAAACAAATAGAAGTGTCTTCAGAATGAGAGCTGTGTGTACATTTTTTTGGCGGCAATCCTATTTTAACGGTGCCATCTAAATCCGTTCCAAAAGAGCTAGTTTCCTCTTCCGAATGACTACTATGACTGCATCTCTTACAAGTACCTGCGCTGCCCGTACTAAGTTTTCCAACAGCACGTACTGTCTCGTCCACATTAGTCTGTGAGAGTATATCGTCTATTGAAGTATCTGAATTATTAGAACCACATGAAAATTTTTGGGTACTCTGTTGAGAAAATCCTTTATCGAAATCTGGTGATAGAGATTTACTATCGCCACCGAAAACATCGTCGGTATACAAATGATCCTCTTCGAAGTTTGGACTATGATTATTCGGCGATTTTAGAGGTTGACTTATAATTACTTTGTCTTCAATATTACTCTTGATATTAAATGATTTATGTTCGGCTCGTGTGCAACATGACCCCATGTCACCCATAAGACAAGTTGCCTTACTTAAAGTTCCACTTAAGCAGGACTTATCATAATTTTGTACAACGCCTTTGTTAAGGCACGTGAATTCATCATGTTTCTCTAATGGTTCAACCATATATCCTGACTTCTCATAGGGGATTGCTTTCACTTGTTTCTGGGATAGTTCATCAGCAGTTTTGTCTGGAGACTTTTCAGATTTTGACTCTTGAATATCTCTTTCTAAATCTTCGTCATTATTTAAAGTATCACTGTCATCGTCAGATTCTAAATGACCTTTCGAACTATCCGACTGAATAGTAACTTTCATTGCTTGTTCCGGTTCATTGCTCATATAGTAAATATGGACTTTTTCAACAATAGGTGTCTCCAAAAGACTGGAAGGGAGAGAAGGCCAATCTTCAAATTCACTTGATTTTCGTCTATTTATGTCAGAAGATTCACATTTAGAAGCTTGGGGTGGTAATTCTGGTAAAGGCCAATCTTCTGATTCTTGACTTTCACTTGCAGAAGACTGTTTAGACGGAGCTTTAAAGCTTCCCTTTTTTAAAGAACTGTCGTCAACTAATTTTCTAGGTTCATGCGAGGCTTCACCCTTCTTATTACTTTTCTCGCCTTCTTTTTTCGATTCCGAATACATCTCACTTATTTTGGTTTGATCAATAGGTATATCTGGCATTTCAGCAGATGTCCTCCTATCAGTATCCGAAATATAAGCCACGTTAGCATTGCTTGGTGGATCTGAACTAAGACTAGCCTGATGATCACTGGAATTTAAAGATTCTTCGTTAATACTTTCAGAACGGGAGCATGCTTTCGTTGAATCTTCATCTGCACTGGTTTTCTCTGACGCAGTACTTCGTTCCGATATACGCGACAAAGTACGACCAAAATTCTGGCCATAACCAATAACTACATCGGTGGATACAGAAGATGTAGCTGGGTATAGGAAATTAACTGGAAAATCATTAAGATCATCCGTAAAGTCAGCTTCAGTAGAATCTTTTGAAGTATTTGCAGATAATGGCGGGTTTTTAGAAAACGATTGAAAGTCGTCTAACAATCTTTGATTGTTATATTCAAAAACATCCTTATTTACAGTTAAGCTTTCATAGCCATCATGGTCCTGAGGTATCCAAGCTTCCTCAATACTTGTACTATTCTCACTGCCAGACGCGCCAAAAAAGGGGCGCCATGTAGGTTTTAACTCTTCACCACGTCGATAAGCTTCACCTAAAGAACCTGAAGTAGATTCCGTTGTTTCGAAAGAACCTCTTGACTCCACACTTAATGATCCTCTGGAATCCATACTAGATTTAGATGAGCTTTTTTGTTCATCAAGACGTGCCTTTCGCCTAGAAGAAGAATCATCAACACTGAGGGACCCTTTAGAAGGCGTAGTTGTAGTTGTGGTATCCATACTCGACTTAGAGGAACTTTTTTGGTCTGTATCCTTCAAAGCTCTTTTTTTCATTAATTCTCTTTCAAATGAAGATGTTATAACATTTCCGTCATCATCGAAATCAATTGTTGTATTCTGATCTTCTTGTGATATTGTTATTGCTATTTTAGTTTTCTTGACAGTTTTTTGAAGATCATTCTTCACATCAGAAGCCTTAGAAGCTGCAGACTGACTAGACTCTGATTCCTCAATTACACACTTACCAATTTTCTCTAATCCACTTTTCCTCAAGTTTGGCTTTGAAAGTTGTTCTACTGTTCGATCTATACTTTCTGAGCTTGATTCAGAATCTGTTGGGGCTTTAAGAGAATCTACTTGACCTTGTTTTTCTAAAGTAGGCGTGGGTGATTTTCTTGTACCTAATTTAGACGGACTACGGGGACTTTCGATGCGACCTAACTCTGGTATTGGTGAAGGTGATTTCGAATTAGACTTTGAGTGTTCACTAGATAAAGTATGGTGGGACACTAAATGTTCTTCCCCATATTCCATGGCCTGTTTCAATTCTTCAAGACACTCCCTGTCCTTTTTATTTAGTTTTTCAATATCTTGAGATATGCCCAATGGCCTAGCGATAGAGCAGCTTACACTGGATTCATCATCAATGGAACTGCCTTTAATATTAGCACTTGATGGGCTAACATCTTTTTCAATACTTGTCCAAGAAGTTGATTCAGAACTTCGTGACCGCTCTGCACTAAGTTTTAAAAGTTCACTGCGTCTAGATTTAGCTGTCAATAAGGTTTTATGATCATTTTTTTGTTCAGTGGGTGAAATATCATTAGCACTTCCAGAGCTACCGGTTTGTTCACCAGATTCAGACTTCTGAATAGATCTAGATGTACTAGCATCAATAAAAGGTAAATTTTCAATCGTCGGACTATTTTCTTGCGGTGGTGTCACAATTATTTTATTTTTATTTTTAAATTTGAGTGATAAATCAATAGATCTTAACGCCTCTTTACCAACTCTTCCATCATGCTCAGTATCGGTTTCTGAGAACAATTGAGTCATAGATTCATGTTTCAAAAATTCTACTAAGCTTGCAGAAGATTCTTCAAATGTACTTTGTTGGTCAAGGGTCCTTTTACTCTTGCTCGTTTTATTGCTTGCATCCGACAAGGGTAGTTCTGTATCAGCTGTATGTTCTTCATAGTCGACTGTCATCCAGGATCCAGTGTCATCACTTCGGCCCCTGTACATTTTGTTTTTTTTGTCTCTCTTCGAAGCTTGGTCCTGATCTGATGAACTGTCTGCATCAATGTATGGCAATGAGAGACCAAGCATATTACTCTCATCAGAAACTTTTAATTCACTAACTTCTGTCAGTGACTCCTCCTCGCTTGTCAAACGTTTCATTTCGTGTTTATTCCCATCAAGTAAACTTGAAATGTCTTGACTACTTTTACTATCTTCAATTTCAGTTTGCCTTTGTTTATTGTAAATATCGATTTTTCTTCTCTCCATTATAATTGTTTGGGTATCGTTTTCGATGACCGTATGCTGTGAACTAGTCATCCACTCAATTGAAGAGTCATCTTCGGTCCTTTCTTTATAGCTATGAGGTGGCGAAACATCTTTGATTTCTTGTTCTTTTAAAATTACAGATTCCGGTTCATCTTTAATATTTGGATGCACATCGACAGTAACTACTTCTTGTTTAAAGTGTTTATCGATAGTTTCTTCCATTACGGCTGATGGAGGCGTGACATAGTTTCTGTCTAAGCTTTTGGACTTGGCTTTTGCATCGAGATGAGTTTCGACTTTTCGATCTAAGCTCTTTGATTTCACGCTAGGATGTACTTTTTGATACACTACTTTACCTTCAATTTGTTGCTTTATTTCCTGTTTCTTCGACAAAGTTTTGGGTGATTTTTGAAGCGCAGCAAGATCATCAAATTTGTCTTCTAAAGACTGACTCGATTTATCATCCATACTTTTATTCAATTTGCTATTACTGCCCTTACTTGTTTTTTGATCTTCAAAACTTCTACTTATTTTACTACCTAACTTGTTATCAAGTTTCTTTGGTGATTTTGCAATAAAGACATGATCTTCTGCCTTACTGCTAATCTTAGTTTCAATAATAATCTTGTCACCTTCAGTTTTAACCAATATCTTATCTTCTGGTGGCGGAAATGGTGGCATTGTATCTTTGACTGGACTAATAAGAGTTTTTGTTTGTTTTAAAGCCGCTTCGAATAACATCTGTTGCTTTTCTTTACGTTTTGCAATTTCGGAGTCACTTTCTTCCTGTGATTTAGTCCTCTCTTTCTCCTTGCTACTACCACGTTTAACCTCCATTTTTTCAAGTGATTTTGATTTTTCTTTGGTCACCTTTTTAGATATTTGATCAAGTTCTTGACTCTTTGCGCGAGCAATGTCTAATGGGGGAACGGTCAGAAAATCTGGACGCTCTTTAAGCGATGATGGTAAAGACTTTTGTGTTTGTAAGGCTTTTACTTTTGTGGCGTTTGTATCAAGAGAACCACCTTTATTTAGCTTACTGCTAATTTTCTGTTTATCTTCTGGTTTTGTTTTCAAAGTCAGCTTTTTCTTGTCTTTGCGCTTTATTCTTTCTATATCGGGCACAATTTGATCTTCGCTTAAATCTGAGAGCTTCCTAATACTGCCTCTTGGAGAATTTAAAGAAGAAGTTGGTGATCTTGAAGGAGATTTGGAAATCGGCGATCGAGACAAAGGTGATCTATTTATTGGTGATCGAGACGGTGACTTAGTCTGAGATCTTATTTTAGTTAAGTCATAGCGTCGCTTAAAAGACCGAGGGCGCCTTTGTTCGACAAGGTCGTCCAACAGTTTTAATTCCTCGTTATCAATCACAACAGATTTTATCTCAGGAGGAGATTCGTGATCTTCTTCGACTTCCTCCTCTTCAATTTTTTCAATAGTCTCTTTTTTAATGGCACTTGCTTTTAATTTATCTTCTATTAGTGGTTTCTCTTCCATAATAATACCTTCTTCATTGACATCTTCAACAGTATCATCTTTGGAAGAAAATGCATTCATAGGTGGTAACCTATGGAGCTGTATAACAGGCGTATCTAAGCTTTTTGCCCTTCGACTTGCTGTTGGTGAGTCTTGTGTAGCTTTCTGGCGCTGAAGAGAAAACACAGAACCTTCAGATAGATTTAGTCTAGCATGGGCAAATAGTATAGGAGTACCACCAGTTTTGCGTAACATAGGAGAAATCAGTTCATCACGTAAGCTTTTCTTAACGTCCAATTTGTTAAAATCTTTTTTGTCTGGTGGAATCATTTCACTTTTTTCTTCAGATTGAGTTTTGATCCCAGTAACTTTTTGTATTTCCATATCAGCCAAGTGTTCTTCGTCTGATTTCAGAAATTCAGTACTCTCGAGTATTGGGGAGGGAATATTTTCATTATATTCCCAAGTTGAACTCTCTTTGCTCAACTGTTTTACTTCTGGCGCTCTCATAGCCACATCATCTTCTGAACTTGGAATTGAAATTGAACGCTCGGAAATCCGCCTTAATTCAGTAGCAGTACCACAAGTGCTATCAAGAATTTGTGGATTGTATTTCGCTTCTAGCTCAGCAAGTTTACGGCATTGCGGAGGAGAGCCCTCAATTTCAGTCGAACTCATTGTTTGACCTCTATGCCATGCACCGGATGTAATTTTATCATATTCTAATTGCAAAATAGGTTCCAATTCTTTACGCGACTGTGGAGGAGAGAATTCTAATTTAGGCGCAGCTTCAGTTGTACCAAAAACATCATCAGAATCCACACTTTCATCATCAGAAGAAAATGAAGTGATTCTAATTTTATTATTACTTTTCGGTTTTATCTTTCCGCCGACGCCTTTTTTACCCGTCCCTCTACCTTTTGTTACCCTCTTGGGGGGCAGTTTTTCAGATCGTGACTTAATATCAGCTCTTAATTTTTCCGCTGCCGTCAACGGCTTTGGATCTTTACTTATAGGTGGTTGTTGTATGTTTCGTCCGTTAATTGCAAACTTGATGTCATGTGGGAACTGTGGTTCTTGTCTTATACTATCCGTTTTAGAACTTGTTGCAGAATCACTTTCTATTTGGCTCAATTTAGAGTTCAATGTTTCTAGCAAAATGGGATCCAATTTTTTGCTAATATCACGCTTTGGACTTGGCACATGTTGCAGTTGGCCGCTTTTGTCAACCTCTAATGTGATCGGATCTATCTTAGACAAATCAATATTTTGTGTAAACAAGAAATCGCGATTCTCCACTTCCAAGAACTTTGAACTATGATCAGCTTGAATGCTGGTTCTTGGCGATTTTGGAGACTTTGGAGACTTGGGCGATTTTGGAGATTTCGGCGATTTGGGTGATTTTGGCGATTTTGGTGATTTCGGAGATTTAGGCGATTTAGGAGACCTGGGCGATTTAGGATGATCATGATATTTACACCTTGGGTGTGCACTTACCACATGTCGTCCGTTTTGCGGGGGTAATGTTATTATATCAGGAGGTTGCCTAGCATCCATTAATGGCGAAGGTGCAGTACCATTCATGACATGTCTCTTATGCAAAACGTACGGAATATCATACCCATCATCAATCAGCTTTTTAGTGTCGTTAAAGCCGGATTTAAAGGCATCAAACTCTTTGAAATAATTCTTAGGCAGATCGAATGGCGAACGCACATGATCAGGATGCACAGAAGGCAACTCAAAGTGAGACCGTTTGGTTGCGATAGGAGGAGCACTTGGTATTTGACGAAAGATGTAATCCTCGTCACTAGACTCTGCAGGAGTCAGATCAATAGATTTCTGATGCATGAGAACGTGTCGTCGAGAATTGACACTGCTAAAACGAGGTCTGTTAGCTAAACTGTTTGGATCACTTTTGGTCCTTTCTACTGTAGGATGTGTGTACGGTGCTGCTGTGTCCGCTAATCGGCTACTAGAACTCGTCTCTAAAATAAGCTTGGGATTGTATTCGTCGAAGTGTGTCTTAGCCATGAGCTCTTCTTTTAAATTTTCCTTTCTAACAACATGCGTATGCACCTTACCGCGCATGTTTTTATCGAACTCTGACTGAAGTATCGATGACGTCCCCGATTGCATCGCAGCCGCTTTTGCTTTATTTTTCGCATATTCAATACTATCCATTGCAGGCAATACGCGCACGTTCACATCCGACTCGTTTGATGATTCCTTCACGAGATGCGATGTATTGTTTTCCTTACTTATCGATCGTGTGAGAGATTCTATTTTCTCTTTATCAAAGCTAAAAACAGTTTCCGACGAACGACGTCGCTGGTAGCTGTGAATTTTGGCCGCCCGATTATCTATCTCAGTTTCTAGACCGGCTATTTTCTCCGGCCATATGTGCGTGACATGCGGGTGCATGTCTTCCTCCTCTGTGGATAATTCGTCAGATTTTTTCGGTGGACTGACATCCGAGTACTGACCGTATTGCTCCAATTCTACATTTTGCAAGCTGGCTGAATGCATTGGGCTCGGTTCCTTATGCTTATTGTTACTGGGGAAAGTTGAGTACGGAGTTGGAATGTGATAAAAGTCCGCATTTGCAAGGTTTGCAATCAAATCTTCATGCGACTTATCGAACAGTGTCTTTTCTCTATATTCCGGTTTTTCCATTCCGATAAACGTCGGCTGCGTGTCAAAGAATTCCTTACACGAGTCAGGGCTGGAAGAAGGTGAAATTGGCTCGAATGGATCGATATATGCATTTTGCACGCTTGTTATGCTGCGCCGTCTTAGATTTAAGTCTTCAGACTCATAAATATTCTTTTTGCAATCGTAATAATCAGATTTAGAGTCCTGGCTGGATGTCCTCGAACCTGACCTGTCGGAGCTTTTGCTCTTCAGCGTTTCACGCGATTTTTTGCTATCTGTATGATAGACGCTGTCGCGAGATTTTTTGCTAGACTCAGCGCTGCTCTTAGATATTTTTTCGTAAATATCACTCTTCGACTCCTGACTAGAGGTTCGAGAGCCGAGAGCGCGCTTGATCTCCTTATAGAAGCTGCCGTCGGAGCGTACGGATAGTTTCTCGCGCGGGAGGATCCGCGGGTCGTCGATGAGAAACGGATCGAGCGGTATGTCGTTGTCGCTCTTGTAGTTGACGGCGCCGATGTCGATGGGCTCGTGGACGTCGCACTCGGAGAGGTGCGAGAGCGACTGGTCGTCGTCGGAGGGCAGGTCGTTGCCTGAGTCGAGCGAGCAGGAGCGCGTGTGCACCGCGGAGGAGCGCGGCCGGACGCGCGCGTAACGCGGCCGCTCCGAGTACTCGTCGTCGGAGCGCTCGATCAGCTCGTAGCTGTCGTGCGAGATGTCGTCCTGCGAGCCGCTGCGCGCGAACGCGGGCAGGTCGAGGCGCGGCTCGCTTATGGCGCCCGGGAAGCTGGACGAGTAGGCGCGGCCGATGAGCTCGCGCTGCGACTCAATCGAGCCGCGCTCGGCGAGGATGAAGGCGAGCGTGCGCGCGTCGTCGTAGCGGGTGACGGGCGAGTCGACGCGGCCGTACGCGTGCAGGCCGGCCAGCAGGCTGCGCGTGTCGGCGCGCCGCTTGGCGCGGCCCGCCTCGTCGAAGCTGAAGTCGCGCAGGTTGCGGCAGCTGGCGCTGCGCCGCCACACGCGCCTCGCGCCGCCCTCCCCCTCCTCCGCGTACCCCTCCCCCTGCCGCTCGCCCTCCTCCTGCTCGGCGAGCAGCAACGAGCCCGAGCGGCTGGAGCGCGGCGACGGGCAGGCCGAGTACATGTTGGACTGCGACAGCTCGTAGTCGAGCCGGTCGCGGCTAGGGCCCGGCGAGGCGGCGGCAGGGCGCGTGGCAGTGCGCGTGTGTGTGCGCGGGCGCGCGTGTGTGCAAGTGGGGGTGGGTGTGGTGGGTGTGCGCGTGGGCGAGGCCGCGGGGCTCTGACCTGGCGGCGGGCGCGGCCCACGAGGCGGCGGAGTGGGAGCGCGCGCGCGGACACTGTCGCGCCCCGTCGCCTGGCTCCACGAGCTCTCCGGCGAGATCTGCATCACACACATTCCAAAATGCGGATATACGCTCGCTGTCTCTTCGCAGGTCTGCTGTATTTAGCTCTCGATATGTCGCTTTTGATAGGAACAACTAAGGTAGTCAATGCAATATGTGCAATATATATAAGCGCATCGGGCGTCATCTATTACTATCGTTGACTCCGTGATGCAGTCGCCAAGGTATCCGGCTTCAGCGTCGGGGGTCGTGGGTTCGATTCCCACACTGGGACAACTATGGGTGTGACCCACAGATAGTTGTTTTGTATCTGAGTGTTTCTTCGCGTGAAATTCTTGTATGTAAAACGTCCTTACCACACAGGATAATGTTAATCTAAAGTAAGGGTAGTGTTTTTTGAAAAGAACAAAGAAAAAGAACGTTTTTGTTTACAGACATGAGATCAAAGTTGATTTTCCTCCAATCAAAGACGCATTATTTATTTCTTTTCGTGTATACATAATTGCAATCTCGCACTCAGCTACACGCAAATAGATTACGAAAATGGCAAAAACTCACCAACGGTGTCGTCGTCCGATGAGGCAGAGGTGAATCCTCCGTAGGATGATGATTGACCTCTGCATGGGTCACTAGCTCTTGCGCCTGGCGACATGCATTCAGTAAGGCACAGTAACGGTGTACGCGAACAGAGCCACGGCAAACAATCAACACACATAATATGTAGTCACAACAGTTAGAGCGACGCTGAAATAGTGCCACATGATCGCGTTGTGCACAAATGATTGCGAGTGAAAGAGACAATAGTACGAGAAGTCACACAGCAATGCTAAACTGCACAATGTTCGATCCTACTATATACGCCTAAGACGTTTACAAACATCATGATTAAGAATGTTGATTCATTCTGAACACTTTTTGAACGATTTGCTCCAAAAACTTTATTATACGACGCGACATGAGTTGAGATTATAGAAAACGAGGTACTATTGTCTCTGAAGAAATTAAATAAACATTCGATTACCATTCAAAAAGAAAATCAGTAATGAGACACGAATGTAAAATGTACGTCGACGGGTTAATAAAGAGCGGAGAAAACATGCCTTCTACCACTGAGTATGGTTACTGAAGATCTCGTTGAACATTATCCTTAATAATAACTTCCGACGGAGCGGAAAAACATTAGAGATGCTATGGCAAGTAATTGAGCTTACCAGATATATAGATATATAGAGAGAACAAATATTTAGATATTAATACTTTATTATTATTATTATATATATATGTATATAAATATTAAGTTGAAGAAAAAAATGACAAACCATTCAAGTTACATAATTAGTTAATTATGATTATTACAAAAGCTGATTTCTTTTAAACTTAATGGATTATATTCATTCAAACTACCATAGGACTCATCAATATATTAAAATAGAGTATCATTTCATATATCATCAATAGTTAATTCACAAGGAAGATAAAATGTGCTGACAAATTGGTGAAACATTTTTCGCCACATTCAGGATTCGAACCTTCTCCTTACGCAAAACTCGTCCTGACGCTCTAACCACTAAGCTTAGTAGTATACAGATTCACCGCACGAAAATCTCAACGTCTTATCCTACTTTTTTTCATTGCATTATTAGCAATGGTATCTTGTGTGATTTCTCTAGAGGAAGTATTTCTCGAATGAAATTTAACAATGAATATTTGAAAACTAGAGCGCTTTAACTAATGAAATTTATTATTAACTAGTGACTCGCCCCGGCTTCGCCTAAACCTTCCTCTTGAATCACTCTATTTAGTAAAAAAAAACCGCATCAAGATCCGTTGCGTAGTTTTAAAGATCTAAGCGTACATAGAGACAGACAGACAGCGGGACGACTTTGTTTTATACTATGTAGTGATGCACAGCAAAGAGACGTTTACATTTCGAGTGACATTTTACCACAGTCACTCACTTCTTTTGCCTTCCCGGAACCCCTCCGCTAATACTTAAACTTTTTGCTATGGTATTTAAGTTCAAATTGACTTTTGAGTATTATTTAAATTTTTTGAATTTTTCACTCCATAAGAACCATCTTTCTACTTCAAGGAATATTATAAAAAAAGAATTAACGAAATCGTTCACGCGTGATGGCGTGGCCAAGGGAAATAGGCATTTATTTTTATATACATAGATTTTATTTTTCAATTACTATAGCATATTAAATGCACTGTTGATACTCACGTAGGCTAGAATAAGACTATTATACCTGTATATTATATTGTACCCTGATAATTTTGAAAAAGAGCAACTGTTGAGTTTCTTGCCGGTCTCTTCTCAACAGAAACCGCTTTCCGAACCGTTTCCGAAGGTGGTACCTTACGAACCTATATACATAATCTTTGCTGTAAAATTTGACGATTCATAAGAGCGCGCAAGCGTCTATTTGAATAAATATATTTTTGATTTTGATTTTGATAAAAAAATAAAACTAATGGTAATTCACAGGGACAATCTTATGAAGGTAGATAACTTAGTTAAAATCTATCCACGATTGAAAGCAATAGGTGTAACCATACTCAGTTAATACACCGATGCAAAGGAATACGATATAATTATGCTAGTAGAAAGTATGGAGTCCGAGAGATTAGGAATTTTAATGTGAAGCCAATTCAATGAGGCTCTTACGATTTGGTTGCAGTACAGTTTTGTCAGCTGAAAGAGAAACAAACGACATTTTCTATGTGTGATAATAGAAAACACAAACCAGCTAAACCACTACGTAGAGACCGAAAAATCATATGTATGTTGGTGACATACTGCATTTACTAAGTGCTTTATTATACCAATATAAGTTATTCTGTAATAATAAAAAATAATAATTAACTACGTGACTAACTTTTACCATGGTTTATAGAGGTTGATTATAATATCGTTCTGGATAGTAATGATTGGTGAAAATACTTATATGGAAGTGCGTTTTATATTTAGTGTAAATTGTTCTTCAATGCCAAAAAATTTACAATTAATTAAATATTTATTGTTTATGGAAAAAATTCCAAGTTTTAAATATTGGTACCAATAAGTAATTTAAATTAATATAGCAAAAATTACAGCAGTTTTTCTGCCACCCAAAACTGCCAACGTCCTTTTTTGTCACCTCATTCTTTATACTTTGTAAAAGATCCCCCGGAAATGTTAAAAACTAAAGTATACACGAAAGTGTACGCACAATAACACGCGTAGCTTATAACAACAATTATCGTGTAGTAATTAAAAATGCAGCAAGTGTCCAAGTGCGCGCGCGAAAGAGAGAGACAGAGAGAGGGTGGAATAGAGAGAGGAGAGGAGAGAGAGAGTAGATATAGAGAGGGGGGCGGGTGTTAGAGGGGGAGGGGAGAGGGGTTAGAGGGGGCTGTTAGAGGGAGGGTTAGAGGGGGAGAGAGGGAGGAGAGGTTAGAGAGAGATTAAGTTTGGCACCTTTTCCCTCGTGCTGGCATAGGCGGTAGCTGCGAGAGGCGGGGGAGAGCGGCGCGGCGCGGGCGGGGGCGTGCGCGAAGAGCGCCTCGCCGCCTCGCGCGCCTCCTCCGCACTGTAGCCCTTCATCATCAGCGAGGCCTCCAGGTAGTGAGGTTGCTTGTCCCACTCCAGGGAAATCGCTGCGGGCCAAACGCAATTTGCTTTTTGGCAAGTTAATAAAACTAACAAACACGCCATTTTGCAACTGTGGGGGAGCTGCACAAGATTCGCTGTTTTTTTTTAAATAACAAAAGAAAAAAACATTTCGAAGATATGTGAAGTCTGCCAATCAGCTATGGTGTCGCGTGGTGGTCTACTTGTAAAAGCTGTTACTTTAGTTTTATATGCTTAGTCGGTGAGTGCTCAATGCCGCTCGTGGAGGCATCTGGTGTTGCAGTTGCAAACTCCTCTCTCGTTTCAAAGGGGTTTCGGTCAAGTTCACTTGACGGTAAGCTTACCGCTTTCCAGGGACTTTTTTGGTCGAACGTAAACTTAAATATTGTATTATATCCCAATTGCGGTGAATAGTGGGGATTTTGTATAACGAAACGAACATTAAAACATGACACGTATACAAAAGCAAATAAAGCATTGGAGGCATGACATGGCGTCAAAATTAAACGCATTTTTGTGCTAATGCCACACATTGGAATATTTTCCTGTTGGCATAATATTCATGAAAGCAAGCGTAGCGGTGTTGTCTTTTCAAATTAACCAACCCTAAGCTATTTCTGACTGTTGAGGCATCAAGTTTAATATTAATAACTACGTATTTCTGTACAAAAGGTAATTGCGCTATGTAGCCAAAAGTGAACTAACAGGGATAGTTGAGAAATGTTCTTAAGATGTCTTACAAACTACTAATTACTAATAAATCTTAGGGGAAGTCAATGTCCTTGGGAGATTTAAACTAGGAGACTTTCGTTATGAATAACGAAGTACACATACGGGCAGATTTTATTTATTTGCCAATTTAAGATTGCGAAATGGTTTAGTTAGAGGTCGAATATGGTCGGACATTATTGTGAAATTTTTGCCACGGCCTGCTATGACAGCAAATTTCATAGAAGTTAGATACTTTGTGGAGCTTATATGACGACGGTCGATGTTGCTGTCAGCGTTGTTAAAATTGGTTTATTGAGGATTTTGAAAGTCACATAGCTTAATAAAGTCATATGCACACTAACAAACATTTTGGCAACAAACCTAAGGAATGCTGACAACAGAATAAAGCTGAGGTTGAAATGGTCGTTAAATATAAGATCCCGTATAAATTACGGGGGATCGTCGGGAATCGATTGCAGACGTGATTCTTAGATAGTCAAATATAGTCAGTGTCAACGTCGAGAGGCAGATGGGATTACTAATGAAGGTGTCTGATCGAGGAGAATCATGTGCGGCCGTCGGGAGTCGTTTGGTCGTGGGAGTTATGTTTGGTCGTTGGTCGTTGTCGTTGCGATCGTTTATAGCGTGATCGTCGAGTCTTATATGCGGTTGACGTGAGTGGTCGGTATGGTCGTCGGTGATTAGTTTCGATCATCGATTGCAGGGCGTGGTCGTGAAGAGGTATATCAGGTACTCTTCGACTCGGAGATGGTCGGTTGTCGGTATGATTGTCGGTGGTCGATATAGTCGTCAGTGGTCGGTATGGTGGTCATTATTGTCTTAGGCGGTCGGATTCGATTGTCGATAGCGGGGCGTGGGTGAGTGTTATATGGGATGGCCGGCAGCGGTCGTCTGTGGTCGATATGGTCATCGCTATTGTCCTGGGAAGTCGGGTTAGAGCGTCGATAGCGGAGCGTGGTGGTGGAGTGTTATATGCGGTGGTCGACAGTTGTCGGTATGGTCGTCGCTATTGTCGTGGGAGTGGAGCGTCATATGCGGTGGTCGTCGGTGGTCGGAGGCGGGCGGGGGGTGGTCGGCGTGTGGTGTTGCGCACTACGTACCGTCCGAGCCGGGCGGCAGCGGCAGCAGCGGGTGCGCGGACACGCTCGCGTTGAGCGCGGCGGCGGCGCGCGCCGGCGGCGGCCGCCACGCGCGGAACGACCCCGACCTGCGGCATCGGGCAGAGGATGGTGACTCGCACCAGCTCTTGGCACGCGCAGGCCAAAAGCGACCTTGGCGCCTGGCGACAGGGCACAGGATCGCGGGCCGAGTTCGCCATTCGTCGGAACACGTCAACGGCGACAGGTGTGCAGTGTTACGCCACTATCGCCGACCGCACGGAATCGTCCGTGTATCGTTACCGTTTGCCCGCGTGATCGATCGAATTTGAAACGACTCTCTTTGTTAATTCGGTCGGAATTCAAATGTTCAAAAGTTTTTTTTTTTTAATCAGATATTCACCTAAAATTCGCACTCATATAAATAGTTTCATAATTGCATTATATGAATGCAAAGTCAAATGAAAAGTGAAATTATTATGTCTAAGAATATTAACTCGTATAATCGTTTGCAAATTAAATTGAAAGTAATGATAAAACAAGACAGCGTTACTTAGTCCTCGTGACTAACAGAGCTCAAGAAACGACTTAATAGCGTCACAGTGTATTAAAAAAGGAGAGCGTGGCGCTGTATGCAGAGACGTTTATTCGAATACTAGAACAGTTAAAGCGAATTTGGAACTTAAGGCAAGTACCTAAGGTACATGTTTGTGCAATCCGATTCTGTACCTATTTAATGACCGCACCATCCTCCGACCGATTGTCACGGAGCCGTTGTCGAAGCAACGAGCAATAGTTCTAACGGTGTTTCTTTAGAAGCGAAAGTCTCAACGGATACAGCGCATGCTCGAGAACGCTAATCGCCAAGTCGTTGAAGTAACGTCGTAATGGCGAGACGTGACCTTCACCGCATATATTGTTTATTGAAATGTAACAAACCATTGGGATAGCTCAATTCCGAACGTGAGTCGTTCGGAATGAGATGACGTCACTCGCCGTTACGACAGTTGCCCAGCGAACAAAGTCTTTTCAAAGCCTCTCTCTGATCGTTCAAAGAACGCTCGGAGGGAGGAGCGGCATGCAAATCGCTACCCCTCTGTCCACGATCCAAAACCAAAAGCTTGCGGTCCCAGGCCATGTTGACAACTCACCTTAGTAACGTTAGATAAGTCATCCATCACGAGTAAACAAATTCTTCCCACAAATCCCCAACTACGGTCCCAACAAACGGCATATCAAACAGCTATGTCACAACTAACGCTCTATCTACGCGTAAAGCGTATCAGAATACATAACAAGCCATTGCCGGAGCGCCGTGTACAGTTACGCGTGCGCGCATAGTGTACAGGGCGGCCAAAGCCGTCGGTCGCACCGCATGCAAGGCGAGCGCGCGGCCCGCGTGCGTACGCACCTCTGGAACGTCTGCCGCTTCACGTAGTTGTCGCGGACGAACTCGACGATCTGCTTCTGCGTTTTGCCGCTGTACCTGCGGAGCGCGCCCGAACGCACAATGAGCCACCGCCAATTAGCGTTCCGATGCGACCCAAGCCATAGGATTTAAAGTGGCTTGGATCACAGCAGATTCCTTAACGCCACTACCAACGATTTTCCATTATGATTCCATATTCAAATAATGAATATAAGAAAATATTTGACGCATACAGTTTTTGCTCGCATGAAGATAAAATAAGTGAAGTGTTTGTATTTAATAATGGGGTGCACGATTCCCTTTACAGAAACCGTTCCGTAAAGGGGCCGGTGATATCTAAGTGCTCAGAGTCGGCGCCCATTCAGAGCCCCAGAGCTCGATTTCAAGCCTAGGTCGCATAGGCGTATGGTGCACGATAGCTTGACCTAATCGCTCCATTCCAGAGCCCTCGAGCACTTCGACTTTGAGCCTTAGCCGCATAGGCGTAGGGTGCAAGATGGCTTGACCTAATCGCTCCATTCCAGAGCCCTCGAGCACTTCGACTTTGAGCCTTAGCCGCATAGGCGTAGGGTGCAAGATGGCTTGACCTAATCGCTCCATTCCAGAGCCCTCGAGCACTTCGACTTTGAGCCTTATGTGCATAGGCGTAGGGTGCAGGATGGCCCGACCTGAAGGAGGAACCGCGCGACATGACGCGCGGCTTGTGGCGCGGCAGCCGCGGCACGCTGGTGCAGCGGAAGAAGCCGTGGTTCTCGACGCACTTCTTCCAGAAGTTCTTACACTCGTTGCGCCCCTCGAAGAAGAACTCGACCACGTCGCGGTAGTGCCCCTGCCGATTGAACTACACCGTTGTGCAAGACGCTTCAGAAATAGTAATAACTTTGATACAGAACAAAATAAAAGTGAAAGAATAAGGTAGATACTTGTTAACCGACTTCAAAAAAAGGAGGAGGTTTCTCAATTCGACCGTATATATTTTTTTTTAATGTGTGTTCGCGGATTTTTTTTGTCGGAAAGGAGAATTCCCAAGGGTGGTACCGTGCTAAGGAAACCCGGATCTGATGGCATCCCAGAGAAATGGGGGGCCATCATTGAACAATGTTTTTTAATTTTCTGATTGAAGTCGGGTTTTTTTTGTTAAAAATTATACTTGTTTAAAATAAACACAGCCCAAAGTAAAACTTTAAAAACTGGTAACACTTCTAGTGGCTTAAGATTGGACTATCCTATATTTCTGTTTAATTGCGGTAGAGCCACGCAACAGTTTCACGAATGGGCAGGTCCGTTCGGGTATGTACCTCGACTCACAGATGGCCTTCGTGAAGTGGAAGTATTATACTTCTGTTCCGTCTGGTGAGCGAGGTAGCCGGGGCCCACTTTATGAAAAGGTGGCCACACATCTGCAACTCTACGAGATTTGCAAATGTCGACGAGCGCTGGTTATCACTTAACATTCAAATGATGACTCCGTGGCGCAGTTGCCAAGGTATTGGGTTCGGTGTCGGGGGACGTGGGTTCGATTGCCACACGGGACAACTATTTGTGTGACCCACAGATAGTTGTTTCGCATCTGGGTGTTTGTCCGCGTGAAATTTATGTTTGTGAAACGTGCTTACAACACAGGATAATGTTGTCCTAAAGTAAGGGCTATAAAAAAAAAAAACATCAGGTGAACAGCCAGCACGCTTGCCACGTTCTCAAGTGAAAAATTAAAAACAAATCGTTTACAATAATTCCGGGGCATATATATGTGAATAATGTTTATGTGTGTACGTCCATTCGCACATAAACTGATTTATCATCACGTATATTTTCTATTGTCTACACACGCCTTTATGTAGACTTTCCCCTGGCGAGCTGCTATACAATAAAATACCGTCTGGACCACTAATGCGATTTTTAACTTATTTTCCTTGCTTGAAATGGCTTTTTAGTTAATAGCATCGCGCTTACTGAAGAAAGTGAAGACCCGTGATGGCTCAGTGTACGGGCGCTCGCCTTTTATTCAATATATTCAGCAGAACCTGAGTTCGATCCCCGGCGCCGGCACCAATGAAATTGTTAATTTTAGGTGCCGAATTATCACGCGCTCAACGGTGAAGGGAAAACATCGTGAGGAAACCTGCATATTTTCGAAATGCTAACAAAACAAATATTTCGAAGATACGTGAAGTCCACCAATCCGCAGTGGGACTGCGTGGTGAAATGTGTCCCAACAACCTCTTCAGAGAGTAGGCCAGCGGTGGGGCATGTGTAGGCTGTTACTTAACTGAAATTGTAAATACTCTTTGACTTGGTTACTCACATATCCCTCTGGGTGGAGTTTGATGAGGAACTTTTTCCTTTTGAACGATATCTTCCTGATCTTCGCCCAGCTGAAGGTGTTGATCTTGGTGAAGTTCTGGAAGACCACGATGCCCATGTGCGCCACGGCCAGGTTCAGCGGGACCCCCTCGTGGTCCTTGGCCGGGTGCATCTTGATACCTGCTCGGTAATACAGAGTGCGTTTTAAAAGGATAATGACAACAAACAAAATCTGTACAAGATGGTAGGGCAATGCAAAGGTCTTCGCTATTGCACGAATGGGCAGGTCCGTCCGCGAAAGTACCACGACCGCACAGAAGACCGGCGTAAAGTGAAAGTGTTACACTTCTGCGTTTCGTCTGGTGAGTGAGGTAACGAGAGCGCACTTTATTAAAAGGTGGCAACGCATCTGCAAATGTCCACGGGCGGCGGTTGTCGCCTGCCATTTAACATATAAAAAAACACTTTAGTAAGACGCATGTGCATTTCAACTATATATTTCAAGCAGTCGTTAAAAGTTTAGTAAATTCTATTTAAATTTGCTCAACCCCGCATGGTTTCGAATATATTAATAGAAATTTTAGAAGCAATAAAGCTAAGAGGTATACGCAAAACAGTTTTATACACAATACCATCAATCTCTAAAAAACAGACCTTCCTAACTGTTTCGCCCTATATGAATATGAACTATGAACTGAGCATTTGAACTTTTAATGCACGATTACAAGGATTTAAATGAAATCTATACAACGTATTTGTAGTGGATCTACATACATTTATTTTGCCAAAATTACACTAAAGCAATTTTTAACTACACTTCCCTAGCGTGATTTACAAATTGGTAAGCGCTATCTAATCACTTCGACAATTTTATAATGACTTTTACCTTAAACACTAACATTGTGTGCGTCCGCATCTCGTTCATACAATTGCATATTAGTGAAGTACATTGACGTACCGTACAATTCGCATCTTCGGGCTGTCTCCAAAAGGTTGAGGTCGGCCTCTGCTGGACTCTGGCCACTGGAAAATTACAACATGTCATTGGCATTCAACTCAACTGCAATAAAATTAAAGAAACATAGTGTATAATATGTCGATCCTATTACATATAGGCATTTCAACATTTATACTTTAGCTTTGGGCTGTGCACTTGATGAATAATTTGGCATAAAGAGTGTGCGAAAATTTCCAATCTTTACTGTGATGAGTAAACCTTGATGGCCAGACGCAGCTTTCGCGCGGGAGTCGTGAGTTCGATTCCCACAAAGGTAAGCATTTGTGTGACGTACATATAATTGTTTCGGATCTGGGCGTTTGCTAGGAGGGCAGGCGGCCGGCCGTAAAAAAACCTAGCAAGAACCACTTATAACATGATTCAAACGCTGTGCCGATACCACTTGGGTGGGATAAAGGCAGGAGGATGATGATTATGGGAGGCTGGGTGCAATTAATACTCACATGTGCTTCTTGTGGTTCTCCATAATCCGTCGCTCGGAGTCGGCGTCCTGCCCGGGAAAGAACTTGTACCCGCTGAGGTACGTGTGGTCGGGGTAGTCTTCCGGGACGAAGTCACCACACTCCGCTGTGGGTAAATTAACAAATTAATTAATTAATTTAGTAAGAGATCCTTTCGGGTATCGGCACCGACACTACGATAGATATTTCTGTCTGTGGTTCAAAATGTGACTGCTAAATAAATAACAAAAACTAATCTATTTCTGAGGCGCTTGAATGACTGTTACTGTTTTTGAACGTCTGTATGTACAATTGTATGTCGAATGCAGACAAAAAACGAACCGATTATGCAGCGTAAATAGGGCCCACTTTTTCAAAGGTCTGTAACGCATCAACAACCACACCGTTGTTGTAACTACCCAACCTGCTCACTACCAGCTTGGCACAAAATGTTTAAATTGTTGATGTTTGCTGCATATTACCGCAAAGGTTTTGGTTGAGAAAAAAAATCGATTCAATTTTTATATTACCAAACACTGCACTAAGATGAAACATTCAACTTTCTAGAAAAATTAACGAAAAGTTATTCGACGCCGAGGGAATCAAACCCGCGTCTTCCGGAATAATGCACGCGAACCACGTCGTTACTCTACGAAATAACTAGTTGCATACACGACGCGAGCTAAAAACAAAATTTATATCAAAACTTTAAATACGTACCAAACTAAATTAAAAGTTTGAAAGCGTAGGCGAAAGCTTTTACGGCAGCTCGTTAAATATTGCACACCTGGCCACTTAGCGTTTGGGTTCAGTTCATATTTAGGGTTCCGTACCCAAAGGGTAGGGCCCCGCCCTATTACTAAGACTCCGCTGCCTGTCTATGTCTGTCACCAGGCTGTATGAACTGTGATAATTAGACAGTAGTAATTTTCACAGATGATGTATTTCCGTTGCCGCTATAACAACAAATACTAAAAAAAACAGGATAAAAAAATATTTAAGTGGGGCTCCCATACCACAGACATAATATTTATACCGTTTTTACAGGTAAATGGTACGGGAATGCTTCGTGCGAGAGTCCGACTCGCGCTTGGCCCGTGTTTTAACGTAAAAATAATGTCGTTCTAATTTTATTAATTAATATTAACGGCGTGAGTAAAACTCGCCCTCGGAGAGGGCACGCCGCAATCTGTTGTGAATACAAAATCGCGGCCGTGCGAAGTACATTCATAAATACATTATAAGGCGTGTGAGGTCAAGTAATAGAGGCAGTAGTTAAGTTTGGATTTTGAACAGAGCCACTAGTATATTACACCAGTTTTTAGGGTTGGTGTGTAGTTTTCGCGCGTTAAATGAAACCGCAGCATTTGATAGTCAAAGTGATGATCGTAAGCATTAATTTGCGCAATGTATTGTTGTACTGCTAGAGTTATACTTATGTCTCTTTAATTAACATTTCTATAGCAAGTATTTAAAAAAGCTTATTTGATAGTTTTTTTTTTTTCTTTTCTGAACAGTTATAAATAAATGTGTATATGCGAAGACTGTTGCGTGGTGCCGTGCTACAAATGATTCCTATTTTTTTCGGAATTCGCATAACTATTGCGAAGGAATAATTCTAAAGTAATGTTACCACGAATTACGGCAACGGCAATCAGCATCGGACCATATTTTATTTTTTAAATTTATCATATTTGAAATAATACTCGAAGAAGATAAGTGAATACCGCCGCCCATAGGCATCTGGTACACCCGAGGGTTCCAGATGCCTTGACAACCGGTTGAAAATTTGGCTCCAGCTACCTCACTCATCAGACGAAACGTGAAAGTATTATACTTCCACTTAATGCCGGTGTTCTGTGATGTTTTGTATTGAATAAAATACATAAATTTGTATAAAAGGTTCTCTAAGATCATGTATTCTATACAGTCAATACTACTAAGTTAATAATTTACACAAAACCGTGGAAGCAACAGAGAGTAAATTAATAAATGGAATGAATATCACATTATATCGCGTATGGTAGTTTGTATGAGATCGCAAACCGTAGTGAAAATACCTCACGCAACACGATGTCACGACATCAAATACTCTACAAACTCATTGAAACAAGCTTAGATAAGTGAAGCGTTATTACAAAGCTAAAGCTAAACTGTAGAGTACAGACAGAGATATATAGAGAATTCGTGGTAAAATAATGGATTAAAAGAACAATACTTTAATAAAGCAAAATTTATATTGCCATGGAATTTTAATTCAATATTCCTTAGACGTCGTAGTTAAGACTTGTCGTAAAAAGCTTCTGTGCAATTTCAAGCTTTTATTACCTACAGTAAAATCTAAGAATTTTCTATCTCAAAGTTTTCATTTAAACCAACTTCATTTGTTCAATAGAGTGGCCAAAACTTTACTTGTGATTTTAAACTATATTAATCCGTGACGACATTACATTTGTATCTTATGCGTGATTTCTAACGGTGATAGGGCCACGCAGCAGCCTCGGCTGTTGCACGAATGGGCAGGCCCGTCCGGGTAAGTACCACGACCTCACGGAAGACCAGCGTAAAGTGGAAGTATGACAAATACTTTCGCGTTTCGTCTGGTGAGTGAGGTAGCCAGAGCCCAATTTTCAAAAGGTTGTCAACGCATCTGTAACCCTCGGGTGTGGCAGATGTCCATGGGCGGCGGTATTCACTTAACATCAGGTGAACCGTCTGCTCGTTTGACAACTTTTCGCATAAAATAAATAAATAAAATTGCATAGACCATAGCAGCCCAGTTAAAGCGACACATTCGTGAAATAGAGGACGTTTCTGCATTTCATTTCTACTAGATTATACTCACCTGTATTGAAAGGTAATGATCTAAAATTTTAAAACACGTGGGTTCGATTCCCACAAGGGACAACTATTTGTATGACCCACAGATAGTTGTTTCACATCTGGATGTTTGTCCGCGTGAAATTTATGTTTTTAAAACGTCCTTACAACATAGGCTAATGTTATCCTACAGCTAAGGTCACGTTATAACAAATTAAAAACAAAATCTCAAAAATTATAACCAGGGAGAAGGGAGGGGGTTTAAAATGCCACGACGAGCCCACAGCAAAACTGCAGGGTTTTGACGATCCAAGGCTCACCTTGCACAATGTAGCTGGCCATCAGGGCGGCGGTGTTCTCGTTGCACTGGATGCAGCCGTTCGCGAGGTCCCTCTTCACTTGCAGGCAGAACAGGTAGCGGGTGAACTCCTCCTCGAGGCGGGCCGGGTCCGGAGTGTAGAACTTCACGCAGAAGCGGAGCGTGGGCTCAAGCATCGAGAGGCCCACTTGGCGGCACATCGGCTTCTCCACGTCCAGCCAGTACTGTCGATGTCGATAGGTATAAAGTCACAGTTTCCTAGAAAACTTTCTCCTGATTTCAAGCCGGTTGTATATTATGAACATCTTTAATCATGATTTATACATAGTGTACATAAACGATCTGGACAGAATCATAAAAGAAATCACATTTTTGACAAAATTAATTTAAAATTGACTACGTATACTATAATTATATCCAAATTATGAACTAATGTCTACTCTGAACTAAATAAGAAAATACTCAATTACAATGTGTTCACAAAACACAAAAACTAGCCGGATTGACTTGATAGTTGTTCAAAACATAGCTATTGAACAGGTAAGAGCTTTTATATTATGCTTGTTTATTATATTATTATATATATTTACTAGCTGACCCGGCAAACATTGTTTTGCCATATAAATTATTTGTAGGGTAGAAAAAAATGTTTGGGGTGGATGACCCTTAACATTAAGGGTGGTAAAAAATAGATGTTGTCCGATTCTCCACCCTGGCCGATATGCACACAAAATTTCATGAAAATCGGTCGAGCCGTTTCGGAGGAGTTCAATTACAAACACCGTGACACGAGAATTTTATATATTAGATATTTTATATTTATGCTTGTTATTCAGAAGTTCCAAAAAACGATAAATGAACAGACCACAGAGACAATGTTAAGGATTTCAAATGCTTACCTTCGTACCGCTGGAGTCCTGATATTCCAAGCCGAAATAATCGGCCTCGAGAAGATGCAGCTGCCGACATACTTGATCGAACAGCACTCTACCAAGCGCCTTAGACTGTAACAAAGTAATACAGAAATTCGAGATGTTGTTGTGAATTGAACAAATTATGGCATTAGTATGTAACAGATTAAATAAGAGATTTGTTTTTCTTATTCGAAAGCAGTTAAAGTGTGCTATTATGTTCACGGAACTTATAGATATTACGGAAGCGTGAATAGATCTGAATAAATACCCTATCTTATGGTTGAAAACCTTCGCAGGTGTAGGATTATGATAATCGCTATCGGATAAATATAATGCTTTGGAACAAATAAAAGCATTTTTCAGATTGCTGCCAATAAAATGTACTAAAATGTTATAGATGGCTTCGACACTTAAGTGCTAGATATATTTACATAAAATTTTAATATAAAAAAGTAAAGTAACAGCCTATAAACGTCCCAGTGCTGATCACGACCTCTTCTGTACTGAGGGTATCAGGGCATAGTCCGCCACGCGGCCCCACTGCGGATTGGCGGACTATGGAAATTGTAGTATAGTGATAGTCCAGTAGCAGCTTTGCGTTATTAATGTCGAACTTTAGATGTCCAATTACTGTCAATTTGAAAAAAGACGCATTTCACAGCCCGTTAACGTCGTGACTCGCCATTAGTAATGGTGAAACGTTGTTATTGCAAACCAACTATCTATCTCGTTAAACAAGTGAATTTGGTCGGATCGACTGTCGTAGCACCCGAGAAGAGGAGGTCCAAGGATGCCATAGCCGCGCCGGGTTCGGGGATTGGCAAAGGGTCCTTATAGGCTTTTTCCCACATAAAAAAGGAGTAAAACGAGTGAGAAATAAGATTTCTCTTATAATATAAGCGTATGCCATTGAAAGTGGCGTAAATAAGTGTCATCGAGCGTGGAGCTTGTCTCGGGGCTGCGGAAGGTCGTTGCTTAAATAACCCCCGCTCAATCGATTGGCTCAATAAAGTATAATGTCCTTTACATTAACAACCTTCAATAAACACAATGTTTAAAAAGATCAAAAGCTTCCTTGCCTAACTGTACGTCTATATATGTAAATAGAAGGGTGACCCCATTTATAAGATCGCCAAATAAAATTTGTATTGCATATATTATAATGCCAACGGGATACACACTTCATACAAAATTCTTAAAAGATATTTCCTTACAAACATTCATTCAGACCAACACAGCATTGCGATTCGACAGATGTGCTCCCTGCGAACTATTCCATCTCTCCACAATGGAAGGGTCATATTTATCTCGCATTCACCTATATTTATTCTTAGCTCTATATCCTTTTCCGATGTCCCATTTCTTCGCAATAATACGCACCCAAATTCTGCACACTCGTCCCTTTTAACAACATTCTCTTTCCTTTAATATTCTCCTTCATAATAATTTTCAACCCATTAGCTCATCAATAGAAACACCATTTTTGTTGTCATCCTGTTTCTTATTACTAAAATTTCTAATTGAAACTTGGAAAAATTACTTACTTACTTACTTAAATATATTAAAGAATTTATCTGTAAAGATCTGACCAAAAGAATAAGCCAACAAAACCCTGCTTTAACTACATTAAAACATCAAAACTTCAAAGTCACAAAATGAAGTTAATAAAAAAAATAGTCAGTCAACTACGGGGTGTATCATTTTTATGGGAGACTAGCTGTGCACGCGACTTCATCCGCGTGGAATTTTAAGTAAAAAAAAAATCTAAAATATAGGTAGCCTAAGTTACCCCTTATTACATCAGCTATCTGCCAGTGAAAATGCCGTCCAAATCTTTCCAGCCGTTTCAAAGATTAACCCGGAACAAACAGACAGACAGACAGACAACAATTGTAAAAAATGTTACTGTGTATGTTAGTATATGTACCGTGTATACATCACTATGCATTTATTAAAAAGCGGTTATTTTAATATTACAAACAGACACTCCAATTTTATTTATCTGTATAGATGGTTGCAAGCCAGCAGGCGGCTCACCTGATGAATAATGATTACTGCCGTCAATCCACAACATTTGGGGAGTGGAGTGCAATTCCATTAACAATCTTTAGGGGGTAGCTGTAAAATCATAGTATTCTGGCACGATATGCCACCGGTACTATTTCATATAGTAAGGTAGTGTTAGAAAAGTTACTGTGAAACCCGTAAAGGCTACGATGCCCGAAACATGACCGTCCATGACGCGAAATGGCAATGGAAATGCCATATAAGTTTATAGAGCAATATAGGTCCGAACCGTCTTATCTTCGCAGATTGAAGCCCAGGGCGAAAGCCTAATGGATTGGTGTTTCCAATTTCTTTGCTTTTCCTTCACGCGAGGCCGATTTCTTTGCAGACAGTGATATTATAAGCTACAGACATATTTTTTTAATGGGAAAAAAGGGGGCAAACGTCTAGGAGGCTCACGTAATATTTTGTTTATTGAAATAGCCGAGCCCATTTTTAATGTAGTGTATGGAGGCCTATAATCCCATAAAACGGCGGCATATCTTTTCATTCATTTTTTATTTTTTGTAAGTAACTCGATGCCAGTGCGGTGCGCGGATTTCCAACTTCTGTTGATATTGTGATGTTGTTCTTTCCAAAGATTAAATTGAAAAGGGGTGTAATTTACATTCCTAATGGATTGCTCAAATAGTACTATCTCCTTTAACAAGATGATGCGTCATCGATAAGTAACTTCCTTGAGGTCGCGAACTTATCCGCCACTTCTCTACTTACTATTATTGTTTTAGGGTTTCGTATCCAAAGGGTAAAACAGGACCCTATTACTAAGACTCCGCTGTCTGTCTGTCACCAGGCTGTATCTCATGAACCGTGATAGTTAGACAATTGAATTTTTCACAAATGATGTATTCATTTTGCCGCTATAACAGCAAATAATAATAAAAAGACAGAACAAAAATACTGAACAAAAATATTTAAGTGAGGCTCCCATACGAAAGATTAATTTTTTTCCCCGTTTTTATAGGTAACGGTACGGAACCCTTTGCACGCGAGTCCGACTTGTTTATTGTTTAATATTAAAATAAACTCGTATAAACTTATTCTAGTCTGATCGTAATTATTAGGACGTTGACAATAAGTTCTAATAACGCTGTGTCAAAGCTTCACGCACTTTCCCTATCGATGGCACTTTGAAAGTGATGTCACTTAAGCCGCATCGAGAAGATAGATCGATAATACTTGGCACGCGGAAATTGCACCGCTCAGATCATTGAAGTTACTCTCGAGAAGTTTCCCGTAATGGTTTTTAAAATTTTGCATTACATCATTTTTAATTTACCAGGTTAATTAAGTACTATTAAGAAGCTTTTTACTAACAAAAAACAGACCTCCTCCAAATATCTCAAATGGTGAAACTTCGAAATCCAAGGTGACGTTAGAATTGGAAATATTATGTCCAGGAAGTTGATGGATACAGGTAGGTCAGGATCGTGTTTCGAGGCAGTCTGTGTTTATGTAGTATGCGTAGATTCGGGGGCGAAAAATCGATCTAGCTAGGTTTCATTTTAAGAAAATGTCATTTTATCCCTGTTTTCAGGGAATGAAAAATATCATTCGAATATGACGGTAAATTTCGCCGCAAAAAAATGTTATAATAGCTCGGTCGGTAATCGGGCGGCCCCAAAACGGACGGCCGTGGTTCGTGTCACGATCATTTACACACTCTTTTTTTTACTTTTTTTCCATTCCAGATCATTCTATTTATTTTTTATTTTTTTATTTCCAAAATACATGATTTACCAAAAAAAAACCTATCCATGCACATATAATTATATATTTGACTTCTTACACATCATAATTTAAATTTGAAAAACTGTATTCTATAACAAACTACTTAACTTAATTCCTATTAAGGTAATGGAACTTTAAATTGTAAATTTTTCGAGATAAATAAACAAAAACTTTCATCGTTGCGGGATTCGAACCCGCGTCTTCTGGTTTCGCGCAAAGACGCTTTACGAACTAAGTTGCGCGGCCGATGTCTATCTATGTTATTTTTTTGTATTTTAATTAATGAATTCATCTCGTTAATTTAATAAACTATTTCCTAGCGTTAACGTTATCCTTCTCAACGTTCTTCTTTTTTTACGTAGCACAGTACGTATGTAACAAATCGTTTAACTTCATTCAAAACAATAGCACTATAGCATTCATGCTGACGGAAGACACCTTCATTGAACAGCGCAAAACAATGAAAGGCGTTGTTGTAAACGATGCATATTATTCGCTCATGTACCAGAAATGGAAACAAAAAAAAATCTCAAAACGGTAACACTTTCTATGCTTCACTTTCTTAAAGCAAAAGGATTAAAAGCGCGAGCATTTAAATACAAAGTCACCCTAACCAAGAAAATATAAGGTAATCTTTCAACACGACCGCCTCAATATAAAATGCACATATTTCATTTCAACGAAAGAACAGGGCCGTAAAACCCGAGACTGGCGTACAATACGAAATTCTTGGCAGAGCATACGCTGACTCCGCAGAGTAATACACCCGTAAAAACTAGTGCAGGTGAGGAGTGTGCCGCACTGTCGCATAACATTTGTCGAAAGTCGGACGCAAATGGGCGCAATTAATTTTTTTGGCTTGCGATATCAATTTAGAAAACAGAAATTATCAAACATGGAACTAATTTAATTCAAAATTATTAACGAGGAATTAATTTTATTAATTGTCTAATGTGCTTATTTCCTTTTAACGCGAAGAATACATGTTGAAATTTGGGATGGGTATCTTTGTTTTTTTAATTTGAAAAGTTGTCAAGCGACGAGGCGGTTCCCCTGATGTTAAATGAATACCGCCGCCCGATGGACATCTGCAACACCCGATGGCTTGCTGATGAACTTTAAAAAAAAGAGGGCCCGGCTACCTCGTTCACCAGACAATAGGAATCTATCTTCATGTTGGCCATATGTGAACAGGTGTCTATTCCCAGTAATCCCGAAGCCCCACAATAAGCCGGCGCCAAGGCACGCTAGGTAGGCAAGTCACCTTCCTCTATCAGTCTACATTTAATTAA